CCCCAATGACCAAGAGGAAGATGGTGCCAACATTGACCTGGACTCCCAGAGGAAGGGCAAGTGTGCAGTGATCAAAACCTCCACGCGCCAGGTGAGATAGCTATTGGGGTGAGCATGGAGGGGTGAGGTGCAAAGGCCCTGAGGACAGTGACTGAGTGTGCCTGTCATATCCTGCAGACATACTTCCTGCCTGTGATTGGATTGGTGGATGCCGAAAAGCTCAAGCCGGGAGACTTGGTGGTGAGTGTGCCTGAGCTCTGGAAGGCTTTTCTCTTGAGCCAAGGCCCTGCCTCTGCCCCAGCCTTGTCTCACCTCTGAATCTTGGCATTGCAGCCCCAAGAGTCTGTTTCCTTGTTCTTGGTAGTTTCTGATTTTTGAGACTGGGTCTCTTTAGGTGGCCCAGGCTGGCTTTGAACTTGAGATCCTCCTTCTTTAGCTTCCAGAGTTGGGATTCCAGGCCTTCACCACCACTGCTGGCAGCCCCCTTGCTTTTGATTCTTGGGTCGCTGGTCCTGTGTTTTGTTTTTGCACTATGGACACCTGTAGCAACTTACGAGGTAGGGCCTGAGCTGTGACAAAGCTGAAGGCCCCCGTGCTGTGTCTAGGGTGTGAACAAAGATTCCTACCTGATCCTGGAGACCCTGCCTACAGAGTACGACTCACGAGTTAAGGCCATGGAGGTGGATGAGAGGCCTACAGAGCAGTACAGTGACATTGGTGGCCTCGACAAGCAGATTCAGGAGGTGAGTTTCCCAGTTCTCCATCCACTTGCAGTGCCTCTGAGCCTCCCAGCAGCCCAGGGCCGAAGTGGGGTGACATTTGGCAGGGTAAGGGCTCAGATCCCACATGATAGATGACTTGGTCAAGGCTGTATAATGTTGGGGCTGGTACCAACATTATCTGACACTCAGGCTCCTGTGGTTGGCCTGGTGTCTTCTACCCTAGCCTTCTGGTCCTAAAGAGATAGTGGCCAACTTTGAGGTGTGTGGAGGGCCAGCTGCCTGTGTCCCCAAACTGAAGCAAGCCAGGTGCACACAGGAGCCCCAAGGCATCAGGTCGTAGGAGCCCTTAGGGCTTCACTTTCCTCACCCAGGTCTTCTCCCTGGCAGCTGGTGGAGGCCATCGTCTTGCCGATGAACCACAAGGAGAAGTTTGAGAACTTGGGAATCCAGCCTCCAAAAGGGGTGCTGATGTATGGGCCCCCGGGAACAGGGAAGACACTGCTGGCCCGGGCCTGTGCTGCGCAGACCAAGGTGGAAGTCCTGTGGGAAGAAGCGGGTGAGCCAGGAGCCCTAGGATCTCCTCCTCTGGCGTGACGCTGCTGCGTGTACCCACAGGCCACCTTCCTGAAGCTGGCTGGGCCCCAGCTGGTGCAGATGTTCATCGGGGATGGGGCCAAGCTGGTCCGGGATGCCTTCGCCCTGGCCAAGGAAAAAGCGCCGTCCATCATCTTCATTGATGAGCTGGATGCCATCGGCACCAAGCGGTAGGGGGTGCTGGGGACACCTGTGGCTGGGAACAGAAACTTTAGCTCTGCCGCATTCCAGCTTCTTTGCACCTGTCCCTGTCTTCCCTGGCAAGGGCTCCTCTGTTTGCTTCTGGTTCTTAACTCCTAAATCTCCTGCACTCAAGCACCTGTCCTCACAGTTGCTGGCATGTTGCTGTCAGTACAGAAACCAGCCACCTCCCTTGTGGGAATCATGGACCCTTACACCCAGCCTGTCTGGGCCCTCTTGATGGGCCACCGTCTCTGTGTTCCTCCGAGTAAACAGAGGGCCATGGCTGCCCTGGCCCTCTGTCCTTACCTAATCTTCTCTGCCCCAATCTGCACCCCCGGAGTCCCCTGTCCCCCTCCTAGTCTTGGGCCACTTCTCATGCCTGCCTGGACCCTGTGTGGCTGGGCTACAGCTGGGGTTGGAGCAGTGCGTTCAGCAGAGACCTGGGCCAGGCCAGGGCTACTTTCATTCTGTTTAGCCTCTGGTGCCAGCTCCCATGAGCCTCCAGGCTCTCGTTGCCGCTCCATTGGGTTTGTACACCTTTTGTGTGGCAGTCACCGTGCCTGAGCCCAGGTTGAACACCTTCTGGATGCCCTGTTTGGCTCCTGTTGGGGGCCGTGGCCTCAGTGTGTCGGCCTCCTGTGTCTCACAGTTTCGACAGTGAGAAGGCCGGTGACCGGGAAGTGCAAAGGACCATGCTGGAGCTCCTGAACCAGCTGGACGGCTTCCAGCCCAACACCCAAGTCAAGGCAAGTGTCCTGGGCATGCACAGGGCTATCTGGTCATCAGTGAACAAGTGCAGCAGCTGGAATTGGAGCTCGCATTTCCACCAGCCTCTCGTGGCCATGCTGGCTGTAAATCACTGCTTCTCTCCTTAGGTGATTGCAGCCACCAACAGGGTGGACATCCTGGATCCTGCCTTGCTCCGCTCAGGCCGCCTGGACCGAAAGATCGAGTTCCCGATGCCCAACGAGGAGGCCCGGGCCAGGATCATGCAGATCCACTCACGGAAAATGAATGTCAGGTGAGTGGAGACTCAGCAGGTGAGCAGCACCTTCGCACCGCTGATACCCTGCGGCCAGGCCCACCGTGAAATCCTGCAGGGACCCAGGCTGGTGCTGGGTGCTCAGCTTTTGGCATCCACAGCCAGCAGGAGTGCAGCCAGGGTCCAGCCAAGTTTAGGGTCCTGGGTTTGATGGTGGGTGGGGTGGGTGCAGCCTTCAGCAGATGGCACGACCTCAAGGGGTCCTGGGAAGGATCACCTGGGACAGTGGCAGCACAGTACCGGGCCGAGGAGGACAGCAGGGTCCTCTGTGTCATCCTTTGCCCTTTTCCCCTGCCTGGGGGGGCACTGTGCTGCATGTGGGAGGGCCTATGGTGGGCCTCCTGTCCCCTCCCCAGTGACAGCCCATGGTGCCTCCTCTTCCCAGCCCGGATGTGAACTATGAGGAGCTGGCTCGCTGCACTGATGACTTCAACGGGGCCCAGTGCAAGGCCGTGTGTGTGGAGGCGGTGAGTGGCAGGGCCAGGGCTGGATGCTCTGGCCGGCTTGTCTCTTCCTTGGACAGGATCAGGGTCAGGGTTACTGGGGTGCAGGGCAGACCTCTAGACCTGTCTGTCTGGCTGCAGGGCATGATCGCACTGCGCAGGGGCGCCACAGAGCTGACCCACGAGGACTACATGGAGGGCATCCTGGAGGTGCAGGCCAAGAAGAAAGCCAACCTGCAGTACTACGCCTAGGCCCCCTGGCCGCTGGCTGCCTCACAATAAACACGCCTGTCTGCCACCTGTCTCTCCTTCCTGGGCTCTGGGCAAAAGTGGGGACATGCATGGCAGGCCCCTTCCATCCCCAGCCAGCATGGGCCCCAAACCAGTTGTCAGGGTGGGGCCCTCTGGGCCACATGGGCACTGCAGCTGCTGCCTGGGGGCTTGAGGCCTCGATCGCCCCAAGTCCTGCCTCAGCTGACTTCTATTCATTGGTCCTGCAGTTTGAGGGAAGAGCTGGAGAGAAGGTAGTGACCCCACCCCACTTTGTGCATCCAGGGCTTCGGCTAAGTCATGGACCACTGAGCAACGTCCCCAACCCTTTGTATTTTGAGGCAGGGTTTGCTGAGTTGCCAGGTTGGCTTTGGTTTTGTAATCCTCCTGCCTCAGCCTCTTGAGTAGTTGGGCTTAGAGATGTGTTGCCATTGTGTCTGGTATTGTGGCTGTTTTATGCATCTGTGAGCTCAGGCCCTAGTACTTGGTGACTTGTAAAGCCAGGATGTGGGTATTTGTCCTTGAAATGTCCCCTTGTTTCCTGGTTTAAGGGATCTCCTGTTTGCCCATCTGCCCCAGTTAGGGCCCCATCAGCTATTTCAGCTTCTTGGCTGAAAAAGAGCCTTGAGCAAGATCCACTCTAATGCCTTCTAGGTGATCATGCTGTTCTCTCCCCAGCCACCCTCAGTGGCAGTGGGTCACCCGCAGCACTGTGCCTGCGAGCAGGGGCTGTAAGGCTCTCCCTGGGCTGCAGTTTGACTGTGAAGTTTTATGTTAGCAAAATAAACTGCCCCCCAGGCTCTGGCCACAGTACAGATGTAGCTCAGCAGTTGGGCCCAGATGACATGGCTGTCCCCATCTGCTCTGGAGCCCCTGAATGGCCTTCAGAATGTCAGCTCTAGTCAGCAAGGGGCACAGTCCTCCCCACTTCCGTTTCGCCACCTTTCCCACCCCCAGTGGCTGGGGCCACAGCAGCTGCTAAACTCCGGGAGGTTGGCTTGGCAGCCCTGCTTTCTGCTCCCCCTGAAGTCCTGGCTCACACTGATCTAGCCTAGCCAGGGCATCCTAGGGACCCTACAGACCCTTCCTGGGCTCCTCTGCAGTGTCCCACCCTCTGGCTGGCAGCCTGCAGCATCTGCTCTTTCGGGCAGGTGGGGCTGCTTGGTTCCCCGAGCCAAGGCTGATGTTCTCGAGAGAGCCGTGCTTGGTGGGCTATGACCAGGTGGTGCAGGTTCCTCATCCCTTCAGATGTTCTGCTGCTGGAACCCAAGAGTCCGGCCTTCCCAGCTGTGCAGGATCTGCTCTGGTATCCACACCTGCACCATCCTAGCCAGGTGGCTTGGGATCAGGACCACATTGCTTCTCCAACATGCAGATGGTGCTGCAGGGAAGCAGCGTCCCCTTGTGCCGGGTGTTCTTAGTGCACTGACCCTGTTGATACCTGACCTACCTATGATGGGTTGGGACACCTTGGCTTGTTTGGTTGACAAGCAAAGGGAACCCTTGAGAAATGTGTGTGGCACTTCTGTAATCCCAGCACTTGGGGGAGGCTGAGAGAGGAAGATTGCTGTGAATTTGAGGCCAGTTTGGGCTACAAAGTGAAGTCATGGCCATCCTGAATTGACCTGCACAGGAAAACTGTCTCAAAAAGACCAACGAAGCAAAACAAAATGTTCTGGGGAGCTTCTAGCACCAGGCTTCTTACCCATGGTTGGCCAAGACGCAGACAGAGACCTGGCCATGGGCTCTGGTCTGTGCATATTTATTCTGTGTCATCTATAGACATATTTACAGTGCAGGCGCCACAGCTGAATGCTGTAAGGCCTCGAGGGAAGAGCAGGGGATTATGGCTTCATCCTCCAGAGCACAGGAGCACATTCCTGAGCGCTGACGACAGGGACGGGGGCCACATCCCGCCCAGCCTGTCTATAGGCCCTGTGCCCACGGGAGTGCGTCCCTGAGCTGGCAGCGAGGGGCCTAGCCTGGGCACTGTTGCCCTGCAGGCTGTGTGGCAGCTCCAGGTGGCAGTGCTGCTAAGGGCACTGGCTAAGGGACAGAAGCGTGGACACTTGCCTGCCCTTTCTTTGGCTAGAGAGGTGGTAAAAGTGGGCCAAGAAGATAGACCTGGGGAAAGGTGCCTGGCCTTGGCCTCTGCCTTGGGCAGATCGGGCCCAAGGTGTGAGCAGAGGGATCCACTCCACACAGGGGTGCTCATCTTTGGGGGTCCCTGCACCCCTGGGTGGTTCAAACCACCCACTCTCCAGGGTCCTGGGTTCTGTGGGGACCAGCACTGTGGCTCTGCACTACTCCTGCAGCAGGTGCAAGATACCTGGATGGTGGGAAGGCATGCTGCAGTGGGCAGGGTCACAGTGTTGGTCTTGGGCACACATGCATACACACAGGCACGCACACACATGGTCACAGGCGATTCCGAATCTTATTGCTGTGCGCATGGGCAGCCACGGTCAAGTCACTCGATGCAAACTGAGAGCAGCACCATCACCAGGATGCCGGCACAGAGCAGAAGCACCTGCTGCAGGGACAGCCTGGGAGGAAGGGGTGGCTCAGGGCACAGCTGGGGACCTTGGGCCAGATGGCCACCCAGTCCCCACAGCTCACTCACCATGGGTTGTCCTCCTCCAAGAGGTCTGGCAGCACATTCACCAGGGCAATGTAGAGGAAGCCACCGGAAGTGAAGGGCAGGACCCAGGCCACTGTCTCCTCTGCGAGGAGGAGACCCTGACTGGCTGCAAGCCCAGAGCACGAGGGTCCAGTCCCTGCCCTCTGACAGGCACCACCCGCGCCCATACCTACGCCCTTGGGGGACTGCGTACAGATGGCGAAGCCGGCACCTAGCAGGCCCCCCAGCGCCGTGGACAGCTGCAGCTTGGCGGCACTCCAGCGGTCGAAGCCAGCCCGGAGCAGGATGGCAAAGTCACCCACCTGGGGGGAGGCCTTGTGTTCACCCCAGGGCCGCCTGGTGTGGGGAGGACCAGGTCCTTACCTGAAGCCAGCTGTGCACTCACCTCATGGGGGATCTCATGCAGGACAATGGCCACAGTGGTTAGGAGCCCCATCTGCAGGGAGGGGAGTCCACAGCTGTGTCAGGGCCACACCTCTCTTGTCCATCCCTGACAAGCATTTGTGCTGCCCTGAGTTGCTTCCTGCTGGCCTCTGTTAGCTACTGGACGACAGCAGGGGCCAAAAAGGACAACAAGCCCTCTCATTGAGTGGGCTGGGGCTGGGGCTGGGGCTGGGGCTGGGGCAGCGGCAGCAGAGGGTTCTGAGGCAGTGCATTTACAGGGAGAAGTGCGAAAGGACCCAGAAAGCAGAGGGCACCACAGCTCAGAGGGCAGGGGCAGGGGCAGGGCAGATGTGTCTAGGAGCAGCATCACCGAGCCTGCTAGCTTCAGAGAAGCTTCCTAGCCAGGAGAGAAGACGGCAAAGGACACAGCAGTGTGGCTTGTGACAAAAGGTGCAGGTGATACATGTGTAATCCCAGCACTCTGGGAGGCTGAGGCAGGAGGATTGAAGGTCCAAGTCCCAACTTCATAGGCAATTTAGTAATTTAGCAAGACCCTATCTCAAAAAATACTAAGAGCTGAGGGTGCAGCTCAGCGCAAAGGCCCCAAGTTCAATCCCCAGGACCACAGGATGGGCAGTGCAGGGAGATGAGTAGGCTGGGAGAGCAACTGGAGGGATGGGGAAGGGCTTGGAGGTGAAGCCCGCTGCAGAACTGGAGGCCCGCCTGCGCAGCGCAGCCCGGACTTGCCTTCTTGCTCACGAGGAAGCTGGCAGCCACAGCCAGCCCGTGGGTAAAGTTGTCTACGGTGTTGGCCAGCAGGTTGAGATAGCCACTGACCTGGGTTGGGGGGAGACATAGGACTGAGCTGCGCCGGTGGCTTGGTGGCTGCAAGAGGGTGCCCCGGGCAGGCCACTCACTTTGAGGTTCCGGACTGCAGAGCTCAGGCCAGGCTGTGCCACTGCCTGGGTGGGACAGGGGCCACCATTGAGCATGGTGGCAGTGGGGTCTTTGCTGGAGGCCTGGAGCTGGGAGAAGTGGAGAGAAGCAACATTAGAGGCCCCCACTCAGCTGGGGTGCACCAGGGAGGCTGAGCCATACAAGAAAGATGGCTTCCCTGACTCGGCTGGACCTCTGCTGACCACTGCGCAGGCCTGGGGCCCACACTGCAGTCACTGTTGTGTCATCTGCCAGAACAGCTCCCGCCTCAGCCCAGGGCCTCTCAAAGGAGTTGGCCCCGCCCTTGACCACTCCTGGGCAAGAGGCCGGGAGACCCCTTTCTTTTTGAGCTAAACTCAGAACCTGGGTGTCAGGCAGAACCCAGACTGGCATTTTGAGGCACTGGGGTTTGGGGTTTACCTGCTTGGGCCCCTCCTTGTCCTTGCTGTTCAGGAATGTCTTTTCTAGAGCCAGGAAGGTTAGGAAGCCGGCAATGACCCAGAGTCCCAGCTGCTGCTGTTGCTGCAGGCTCTGACCCTCACCTCCTGCAAGGGAGCACCATGTGCCATGCCGAACCTGTGCCCATCACGAGGACCAGGGTCTGGGCACTGGGTACAAGACGGTGACCCTCTCACAGGCAAGTTCCTTGCCAGATTCTTCTTCCCTGATCCCTCTTCCCGTACCAGGGCCAAGATCCCACTCCTGCTCTCCTGGGGAGCTGGGGCCTCACTCACCAGGGCTGGCACTGCAGGTATAACCCCAGGCCTCGGGCAGCAGGTGCAAGAACACATTGCCCAGCAGGCCCCCCAAGGCAAAGCTGAGCAGCTTCTTCAGGCGCTGGGCCCCAGCTGCAAGGCAGGAATGTGGGTTGGGGCGCTAAGGGCCGGGACCCCAGCATCAGCTCTGTTCCACCCAGCTCACTGGGCTTTCTGTTGGCTCCTGTAGCTTGCCCATCTCCCAAAGTTGGTATCTGGCTGTGGCTCTCCTGGGCCCCACTGTGCTAGCCAGCAAGGCTGGGTATGCAGCAGGAACCCCTCACAGCCTGTGGGACCTGGCTGAGGCCCCTACTCCAGCCTGACTAGGAGATGGGGCTTCTAGGCCCCACAGTCCCCAATTCCTAAATCCACCAGCTGGTTTGCTGCAGATAACTTCTGAGACTCAGTTTCCTGGTCTGTTTGATCTTGTGGGAGTTATATGACAATACAGAAAGCTTATTAAGTGGAAATTTCTTTTCAGTCAGAAAAGTGGCAGGGACACGGAGACGTTCGCAGGCTCACAGCACAAAGATCTGAGAGTGCTCTAGGTGTGCCAAGTTCAACCCCGTGATCTTACAGAACAACTGAGGCTGAGACCATTGGGTGGAGGGTGAGGTGGGATCCCAAGGGAAGCTGCCACCTCCATGCTGTGTGACTTGCTGAGCGAGGACCCTCTCTGCCTGTGCTTCCCTTGTAATGTGGAGCCAGAAGTCTCCACCCTGACCCTGCAGCCACAGAGGAGCCCTGGGACCATTTGCCTGAGCACACTAGTTCCCAACAGAGCCCTGGGCATGGTCCTGATCCACACCCCACTCACCCGAGGGGACCAGCACCTGCAGCTTAGCCTCACCCAAACCATCTTCTGCACCCTTCCCTACAACACTCTCTCTGCACACAGGTGATGCAAAAGCAAGGAAAAGCCCCCACTGGAGCCAGGCTCAGTCTCCTGGGTCCCCTCCTTGGGGCATCCCTCCCACAAGGGATGGCTGCAAACTCGGCACTGTGGGCCCAGACCAAGCCAGGGGGGAACAGCATCCCAGACTCAGCACAGGGCTGCAGGCAGTGCTGTGTGTACACCTGCTCCTTTCATCGTCACGAGAATACCCATGAGACAGATGCTATTATATTACACCTATTTTGGCAGGTGCTGGGATGGAACCAAAATGCCTACTTTGGAGGTGACAGGATCAAACCCAGGATCTTGCACATGCCAGGCACTCACTTTACCGCCACTGAGCCACATCCCAACTCCTATGATCCCCATTTTTAAGGCTGGGAGGCTAAAACAGTGCAAAGGTTCGTATCTTGCCCTGTGCTACTTAGATGGTGACTGGTAGAGCCAGGACTGGTGGCCAGGTAGCCTGGCAGTCCCTGTTCATAAGAAGTCCAGTGATGGAGCTGGTGTGCCATCACACACCTGTGATCCTGACCCTCGGCAACTGCTGAAAGCCTGAGGCTAACCTGGGCTACACAGTGAGACCCTATCTCAACAACAATAGCAATAAAATACAAAGTTGGGTATGTAGCTCAGTGCAAAAGGCCTGGGTCCAATCCCGGTTATCAAGAAGAAAACAAAGAGTGTGGGGTTTACTGACTAGGACAGATGCACCCCTGTGCCCACAGGACCAAGGTGACCCGTCCCCATCTCAGATGCACTGATCTGGAACATGAGACCAGGGTCTCCCACCCTGTTGGTGTCCCTCAGGACCACTGCAGTCACCCACCTTCTGAGCGCAGCATGGTCCCCATCTCCAAGGGAATGACAAGCAGTGGGAAGACCCCCGTGAGCCCCACAATGAGCGAGCCAAGGAGGGAACAGATCCAGGTGTCCAGCTTGTCGCTGCTCAGCAAGGACCCCCAGGACTCGCTGTCTTTGTTGTCCAGGCGACAGGCTGCTGCAGCACCCCAGTTCTGGAGGGCTGGCTGGGAGTCTGCAGCCCTTCCCAGCAGCTGCAGGGCAAGGGTGGTGAGGAAGAAGAGCCTTTGGCCCGCCATGCCACAGCCAGGGCAGGGACATCCAGGCATGCCACGTGCTGAAAAATACAGAGGCTACTTAGGCAGGCAGCCAGCCTTGCCCACACACCTGCTCAGGACACGTGGCAACCCCCCCCCAATCCCAACTGGCCTGGGTACCCACCCGCCTGGTGGGCACACAGATCAGGGCTCAGCTCCTCGGCTTGCCCTCTCCCAAGCACTCGTCCTCTCCAAAGCACGACGCATTTTTTCCTTCTGAGCCTGCTCCAGACTGTGTAGGCTGGCGCGTCTGCTTGAGGCTAAACTTTCCCTAATGACTGGGTGAGGCACTGGCTTCTTGTAGCCACCGGCAGGTCTGGCCCAGAAGGCTGCTCGGGCTGCCAGGAGCAGTTTGGTGCCAGGCTGTGCCCTGATGAGGACGCCCAGAGACCGAAGGCAGCAGGTTCTAAGTGGATGGGCCAGCACTGAGGGCACAGGAGGGGAAACTGAGCAGTGCAGCTAGACAGGACCATCAAAGCCTCTTCCTGGGAAATGAGCCTAGTGTCCCTGGGGGCACCAGGAGGTGCAGCTGGGACTGCAGAATTCTTTGGTTTGGAGATGCCTCACAGATGTGTGGCATGGCTTCTGAGACAGGTTAACTTGATGCTCTGTGCTCTGAGCTGTTTGCAGTTCCCAGGGTCTGGGCCTCAGAGTCCTTGTCCTAAGGTATTAATCTGGGTACTGCTTAACGCAGAGACCAGCAGATGAGAGAGCGGAATAAGGCAGATTGATAGCACGCAGAAGGCACCGGGTCCCCCCATCCTGGCAGGAATGTGCTCTGCCAGCGACCCTGGCAGGAATGCGCCCAGCCAGCGGATCCCCGGACGGGACGTGAGTCAGCCAAGGAGAAGTTTAGTCTGGAAACTGTGAGATTTAAGCGTGAGATTTAAGCGATGTTTGGCCCTGCCTGAGCTGGCTGTGACCTTGAGCTGCCTCAGTTTCCCCTCTGCTCATGGATGGGGCAGGGAGAAGACTCAGCTGCCTCTGGGCAGATGGGAAAGATGCCTAGATCTAGAATCTCCAGTGCTTAGCTCAGAAGACCCCCGCGGGACCGGCTGGCCGCCACGGGGTCAAGACTGCGCGGGTCAGGCCGGGCCGAGTCCCAAGCGGGCCATCAGAGAGGTGAAGGGGCCGCAAGTTTGGGAGAGAGACAGTCTGCAAAGGGAAGGGGCTTATCAGAAGTCAGAGGAAAAAGAGTCAGCAAGAGGGAGAAGAGTCGAGGGAGCCAGACGCGGGTGGAGACGCTGAGGAGGACAGCAGACTGCGGGGTCAGAGGCGCCCGGAGCAGCGAGTCGGACCCCGGACTCTGGGAGGTGCGCGGCTCAGGCGGGGACATGCCGGGCCAGGGTCCCGAGGCCGGACGTCACTCACCGTGCAGCGGTGGCAGCGGCAGCGGCGCTCCGGGAGAGCCCGGCCATCCAGCTGTGGAGCCGCGCCCCGCCCCGCCCCGCCCCGCCTGTCTCTGCCCCGCCCGCCTGGCCGCCCCCCACCCCGGCCCGGAGCCACCCCGGGAGCGCAGCCACGTCACTCTGGGACCGTCCGGAACCCGACTCGCGGCCTTGCAGGAGCGTCCGGAGCAGAACGAATGTGCACTTCCGCCTCAGGACTACGGGGGACCCGCGCGGACAGCGCACTTCCGCTGGGGCTGACTCGCGGAGCGAGGGGAGGGGAGGGAAGGGAGAGCTGAGCGGAAGTGGGAGCCCCGCAGGTTCAGCGCGCAGCCCTGCGAGCGAGGGGGCGGCTCGCCGGGGACGCCGAGCGGCTGCGCGGCTGCGCGGCTCTGCTTGTGGGTCTGACCGCAGTTTTCCGCCGGCGCCAGTTCCTTTCGCGGTCGCACGGGGGCGCGCTGGGCTGCCGCGAACCGGGAGGGCCGGACGCGGGGCGCTCCAGCAGGGCTTGAGGCCGGGCTGCTCCAGGAGCAGGGAAAGGGGAAGTGCCCGCCGCAGGGAGGGGCCTGGCCCGGGAGCCACAGAAGAGGGAATTTTATTCTTACTCATCGAATTATTTTTATGCTTTGGTTTTTCACTGGGAACCTCAGGCCACTGTCTCCAGGACTTGTAACCCTTTGGGGTCCAACACCGAGTAGCTCGGCCCTTAGCCTCTGAACCCCAGATCTCTTCTGGTAGTCCAGTGGGGGCGCTCCGCGGCTGGTACCATGGCAACCGAGGCTTCCAGCACACCTACTATGCGCCACCTACTCAGCTTGCAGTATCTCACCAGACCTTGTGTTCTCCTTAGCCTTGGTGCACGCGGTGGTGCGGCTGGCAGAGTCGGACCTCACATCCAGGACCTGTGTCATTGCCTGGTTCTCGGGCCAGGCCTTGGATAGCTCAGGAAGGGGACATAACTGCTCGGAGGGGCAAGGTTGCTACCCGATGAGGCTGTTGCCCACCAGGGAAGGGCACCCGGCTGCTCACCTGCAGCTGGTACCCATCCTACCTCAGGCCCAGTTGCCTTCACCTCCGGTCGCACAGCTCTGCAGTGTCCTCGACTTCGAATGGAAGCCGAGGTTAGGCCCTTGGAGCAAGGGGAGACTCAGTGGTGCTGCGCAGCTGGACCTCTAGGATGCAGCCCCACAAGCACATCAGGCCCTCATATGCAAAGCACTTCACAATAAGCAAATGATTTCACAATAATACTGTCAGTATTCCTGCCTGGGGACAAGGGATGGGCCCAGCCCACTGGCTGCCGGATCACTCACTGCCCTTTCCTCCTACTTGGCCTGAAGTTTCTACTTCTGACTCGGATTAAAGAACTAACATTGGTGGGCCTGGTGGTGTATGCCTGTGATCCCAGCACTTCAACTCAGGAGGCTGAGACAGGAGAATTGCTGAGTTCAAAGGCAGCCTGGGTTACAAAGGGAAACACTGTCAAAAAAAAAAAAAAAAAAAAAAGCACTGCGGGGTTGGAATGGAACAACGAACCAGGTAGAGCTGACCAGGCCTACCTGGGGCTTTTAAAACGCTGACTTGGCTATGAAAACAGAGAGAAATAGTACTGTAGTGATCACTAGAGGATAGAATAGTAAAGGAAGAGGCAGGTAGAGGGAGTCACCAAGGTAGAGCCAGGAGGAAGTTAGTGTTCAGTAGCACAGTAAGTGACTGTAGTTTACAGCAATTCCTTATATATTTCATTATGTTACCCAGGTTGGTCTCAACTCCTGGGCTCAAGCAATCCTCTTGTCTCAGCCTCTTGAGTAGCTGGGACTACAGGCACAAGCCACTGCCCTCAGCTTTTTCTGTATTTTAAGGAACTAGAAGTGTTTGTAAGCACCCAACGCAAATGATAAATATTGAAGGAAATGAAGGTGTTAGTTACCCTGGTAATCAAACATAGTTGTAAATTTATATGTATACACACACACACACACACACACACAATCTTTCTATAGCTATAAAATCTGTCTATCTCTGCTTCTGTCTGTCTGTGCTTCTGTCTCTCTGATCTGGCTTGGTGGTTAAGACAAAAAGATTCTGGTGCCCAACTTCCTGGGGCAGGTTGCTTAACCCCCTATGCCTCAGTTTCCTCTTCCATAAAACACTGTGGGGCTTCACCGAGGACCAGATGGACACACACAAAGTGGTCAGCTATGCCCAATGGGAGAGTTTCGCACATAAGGGTTAGATGTTGACATCTCCACGTGCCCGGGTACACGGGTGTACAAACACGTTAAAGAAATGAAGAAAGGGCTGAGATGTAGCTCAGTGGCATAAGTGTCTGCCTGGCAAGCATGAGGTCATGAGTTTGATCCCTGGTACAAAAAAAAAAAAAAAAATAGACACATGGAAAACACAGCATGGGACCACGCCCTCTCTTTGCTGGCCCTGGATGAGCAGGGTTTATTTTATTTCTTTCCCTTTGGCTTCATTATTTTCGGTGGCACTAGAGATTGAACCAGTGCCTTTACACTGACCTACATCCCCAGCCCTTTTTCATTGCTTAATTTGAGACAAGGTCTTGCCAAGTCACTAAATTGTCCAGGCCAGGCTTGAATTTTGGGATCCTTCTCCCTCAGTCTCCCAGAATAATGTGATTACAAGTCTACACCACCATGCCCAGTTGAAATCCAGCCTGCCTACTAGGCTTCCTCCTCCCTGGAGCCTTCTTGGTTCACCCAAAGTGAGGGCACCATGTCTTTGGGGCCCTTAACCCTGTCTGTGATACTACATACATCTCTTCCCATGTGGAATTCTGGGAAGAACAAGCATTGGCTTATATTCTCAGTTAAAGTCTACAGATGAATTTAATGTCTATCTTTCCCTTTCTCCTAATGGGTGAGATCCCTGAGTTTTTATGCACTGTCATCTTGGCCAATGCAGGACTCTTTTTATTTATTTATTTTGGGTTTTTGAGACAGGCTCTCACTATGTAGTCCAGGCTGGCCTTGAACTTACTTTGTAGCCCAGACTGGCCTCAAACTCATGGTGATCCTCCTGCCTCAGCCTCCTGTTGGGATGACAGGCGTGTGCCACCACACTCGACTTCTTTTATTTAATTTTTGTGCTTATTTCCATATTTCTTCACTCCTCCCCCGTCGCGTCTCCTTGACTCCTGCTTGAGGGAACCTGAGAATTAAGATAATGGGGCGCAGTGTGTGTGTGTGTGTGTGTGTGTGTGTGTGTGTTGCTGGGAGTGGAACCCAGGGCTAGGCACATGCTTTACGATTGAACCAATCCTTCTGATGTTATTTTGAAACAGAGTCTTCCTGAGTTGGGCAGGCCGTGAAAACCTTCAATCCTCCTGCTTCAGCTTCCCCTAGGTATCTGGGATCACAAGCATGAGCCATCATGACCAGCTTTTTAAAAAATAGTTTCCTCACATCTCTATGTATGGCTACACAACATTCTGCTTCTGTTGGCCTTTTTTTTAGCCCTCTCTAAAATGCCCAGGCTGGCCCAGAACTTTTGATCCTCCTGCCTCATCTTCCTGAGTTGCTGGAATTAAAGACGTGTGCCCCAAAGCCTGGCCCTGCATAATGATTAGTAGATTTACTTCTTAGATAGTTTACATGTTTGTAGATATTTTGAATAAGATATTTCCCGTAATATTTCAAACAACTTTTGTTTTGTTTTGTTTTTTGAGACAAGTCCTCACTATGCAGTTCAGGCTGGTCCTAAACTCACTATGGAGCCCAGGTTGGCCCTGAACTCATAGCAATCCTCCTGCCACAGCTTCCTGAGTGCTAGGATTACAGGCATCGGCTACCACAGTCAGCCTTGAACAAGTTATTGATAGCGTATGAGAAGACAAATTATTATTTTATTTAAGGAACTATTTTATTTCCTTTAAACCAACTACATATTCTTAGTTCTCATAATTCCCTAACACCTAGTTTCGTCCTTAGGTGGATAAGATCATTCCCCAATAGCAAAAGCACCAGCGGGAGGGTGCTGTTATTTATAAAGATAGGATCGGTGCTTGGCTGTGAACTTCATCAAAGGGCATTCGTCTTGGGAACTGTTAGATTTTTACACGCCACCCTATGGGACTGAGTCATTGTGACACTGTGACACAGAGGGTCACCTGCTTCCTTTGCCGCGTGGTGCGCACTCTGGAGTGAATCTATTCCGTCCATTCACCCATTCCTCGCCCCGGGCCAATCAGCGGGCAGAGGCCGGCTCCGGGCGGGAGTGAGGATCGCGGTGCCCGGCGGCGCCCTGCGGGGGTCGCAGCTCCGGCCTTGCAGCTTTGGGCAATCGGCGCCGGTTCTCCCTGGCGGCGGCTGCATTTGCGCTCTGACTGGTTGCAGCCTGGCCATGCTGCGGCCCTGCAGCCCTGGCTTCCTAAACTCGCCCTTCAGAGGTGCAAAATAGCACCTCGGGGTGCCTTTCATTTGCATCCCCGAGGCCGAGCGCCCTTGGGCGTGCGTTGGACAGCGCCTTCCTTTCCTCCCTCCGCGCTGCCGCTTTCTCACGGGCAGTGGGCGGCAGGGAGCCCCGCAGGCATTGATTTCTGGGGTGCACCTCCCCAGCGGAGGCTGCTTTCCACTTGCCCTCGGTGTCGCCCCTCTCTCTCCCCTGTCTCTGGGCGGCGCGCGGGGTCTCGAGGCCCCCGGGCGTCTGCACGGACCTCGGCTGCTGGCTTCCGCCGCACCTGGCGGCGCCGCCCCCACGCCGCACTGGTCCCGGGCCGGGGGCGGCGGAAGCTGCCGGGCCCGATAAGACAGAGGCCGGGGCTGCGGCGAGACTGGGACCCTGGCGGGGACCCAAGGGACGGTGGGGGAGGGGCCACCCTGCCTCTGGACTGCGACACAGGACGGGGGGCGTCACGCCTCTGTTACCTTCGCTGCAAAGTCGTGGGGGAGCCCCGGCACCCCCAGGGCTGCTGGGGACATAAGTCCTCCGGTGCCGCGTCCCCTCAGCGCACCCTCCGGGCTCTTCCCCTGGGGTCCCGCGTCCTTAGGGCTCCGCCCGCTGGAGACTCCCCACCACGGGCTTCTACACAGCTCCCAGGGATAGGAGAGGCCCCACCACCACCTTGCTCCCAGTGCTGTGGTCCCCAGCGGAGAGCAAGGGGCAGCCAGCGTCTGGGGACTGCTGCACCCCAGCCCTATCCAGATCCTCACACACTGTGCTCAGGGGTCCTGACTCTGGGGACAGGTAGGGGACACTTGCCAGGAGGAAAAGGAGGTGCAGGGTCAGTGCCCTGAACTTGGCATCAGATAGGACAGGGGCTTGGCCTGGTGAGCAGCATCCCTCTCCTGGGATCATCAACTGTGACACCAGAGTGACAGTGACACCTGGCAGAAATTGCATCCATTAGGCTGAGCTGCTGGAGATCAGTTTTCCTTCAGTGGTGTCTCCGGAGCCCACGGGGCTCCTTGTACCCATGTTAGGGTCCAGGACGTGGCTCCTCTGTAGTTGCAGAGCTGTGATTTAAAGGCAGCTCTGGCAACAGGGACACTGCCCCTCACCTGTCCCCCACTGTCCTGCTGAGTGGAGGCCCGAGGGGCTTCACCCAGGAGACTGTGCTCCATTCTGGCTTTCACTGTGTGTTCACACACTTGAGCCTGGAGGTTTCCCTCCAGTGGAGAAGGGGCAGTGGCCAGGGTGGTGGCTGGGGCTGGGCTGCCCAAGGCTCCAAGGCTCTTTTGAAGGTCCTGCTCTGCCAGGCTGTGGGCTGGACAACCGGAGAACCGAGCTGTCTCTTCTTGGTCACTCCCACCTTTGGGCTGATTTTGCACTCACTGTGTTGTCCAGGCTGCCCACAAATTTGAGGCACTCCTTCTGCCTCAGCCTCCCAAACACTGGGACAAGTGTGTGCCACCATGCCCAGCTCTCAGTTTTCCAAGAAATGGGGAGAATTACACGGCTGTGAGAGCTGAAGGTTCTGTCTGTGTCTGTGAAGTACCTGGTGGTCCCACCAGTTGCTAAATCAGTTGTGTCCAGCAAGGTGCTCAAACAGAAATGAGGAGTTGGGGCCGGGGATGTAGCTCAGCAGCACAGCGCCTGCCTGGTAAGCAAGAGGTCATGAGTTTGACACCTGGTACCAAAAAAAAGGGGGGAGGGATCTTGCCAAGGTGGAAGTGGGCTCCAAGACCCTTACAGGGAGGCGGTGAAGGCCCACTCCATCACTGTCCCAGACAGGAAGAGTCGGAGGTAGGCCAGGGGCCCAGGATGCTTCCAGAAAGGTGGAGAGCTCAGGTTCCCACCTGACTCGGGCTGGGGCCTCCCAGGTGGCGGGAGGGGACTGCGGTGGTGTGATGCTGGCCACATGCACACTTCGCCTGAGGCCCAATCCACAACCTTGTTGGTGCCTCACTGCAGACATCTAGGGTAGGGGTAGGGGGAAACAGGCTCAGTGGGCCAAGTCAGTTATTCAGGGTCACTGCCACATTCTCTTCTTGCTTGATATGGAGGAAGCGACAACTCCTGTCCCTCTAATGAGGAAACTGAGGCTCGGGGGTCTTGGTGGCAGCCACCTTCCTCACAGAACTGCAGGGTGGCAGCTGTCCAGGAATGGCACCAAGAGACCCAGAGCAGGGCAGAGGGGAGGTGGCTCTCGGTGACAGCACAGAGCAAGTGAGGGAGTGAGCTCACCATCTGAGGAGGGCACAAGTAGAGGCATCTGGAACCTCTACCTTCGTACCCTACAGCTGAGGGGTAGGCTCAGAGAGTTCCCCAAAACTAGTCAACAGTTTTAAAATTTTATTTTTTTGTTTTGTTGAGACAGTGTTGCTATGTGGTTCAGCCTGGGCTGGAATTTGAGGTGATCCTCCTACCTCAGCCTCTCGAGTGCTGGGATGAAGGATGTGGGTTGCCATGCCCGGCTTTGAATTTTATTTTATTTTAAAACAAGTTTGCATCCTTCTTGTTCATGTGTGGGGGCCTCCCTTTTGAAGAGAGTTCTCCCCGCAGCCTTTTTCCTGGTGGCTGAGAGGAGACACGCATGGCTACATCTGTGCCTGTGCCTCACCGTGGACCCCAGGCTCCAGGGTTTGGGGGAGGAGCAGGGTGGAGGGGAAGGACCTGCCCATTGTTATAGTCCAGGGCCAGCCCCAGCTCTGTGCCCCAAAGGAGTCCTCATCCTCTCAGGGCCTCTGTCCACCAACAGCCTACTACATAGCAACCCCCAGGTTGCCCCCCAAACCCCCAAAGGCCCTGGCATAGAGAGGGGGCCAGGAATCCTGAGCCCCAGGGACCTGGGAAGGAGGGGTCTCCTGATAGGCGAGACCTGGGCCCTGGCCAGGGAGGCAGGAGGAAGGCAGGCAGGCTTGGGGCGCCTGGGGGCTGCTGCCTGGCAGGTCCCTGTGCCCAGGCTAGGGAAGTTTCTTATTTCTCCTGCTCTGACTTCCCCCTTTGATTTATTATAGCCATGAAATGCTCTACTCTCTTCTCTTTTCCTTGCTGTCTCTTGGGGCTGGAGGAACACAGGCATCCCTGGGCGTCCGGCCTTGGCCCGCTGCCCCCGTCTCCTCCCGAGGCCAGGGCTCCAGGGCCAGCACAGAGAGGTGAGCGGGGAGCAAGGAGGAGGGGACTGGGCTGGTCGTGTGGCAGGTGTGGCTGTGACCAGAAGCAGTGCAGCAGTGGCCCGGCGTCTTGGGGCAGCTGGCCCTGGGCTGACTGCCTCAGCAAGGCTTGGGAGTGGGGCCTCATCAGGATCCGGAGGCAGGCAGCAGCCTCAAGTGCTAGCCTCTAGGTCACAGAGATGGCTTCTCTGTGACCCTTGACCCCACCATCTGATGAAGGATGGCCGACATAGGCCAGGCTCAGGCCCGCAGGGCACTGGGCCGGAACCCAGAAGACAGAAGGCTGAGGCACGAGGCCAGAGTCACTGGGGTCCTCAGGGAAGGGGCAGGGAGCCCCCCTCCCCAGGCCTGGCCCAGGCGCCAGGGCCGGAGTCTGTGTCCAGCCCCACGTTGCCCCAGCCCCTGTGCGGTGCCTGTGGTAATGGGGCTGTTGGCGTTTTGCAATGGGCCGGGGGTGGGAGGCGGCGTGCACACACTTCCTGTGGTGGCCCGGCGCTTCCTGTTTTCTCAGGCGCCGGCCCTGCTGCTGCCGATGTGGAAACAGGGCAGCTGCAGCCAGGGTGGCTCCAGGCTGGGCAGCCTGACCCCACCACCCCCAGGCCCAGACTCAGCGGGCAATAGCCTGGGTCCCGCCACGCCAAGCCCCGTCCTTACCCAGCCAGCAGAGGTCGGGGGTCTGTCAGCAAGAGGCCCAGGCTGAGCGCTCCAGGCTGAGTCTTAGGTCTGTGGCTCTGGCCTCAGCCCGTCCTTCACTTGTTGAGTGCTGCTGGCCCTCAGTGGCCTACTCCAGCCTCGGTTTCCTCTTTTGTGTGGTATCACGGCCACCATGATGTAAAGTCCCTTGCCCGTTTCTGCCCTACTTCTCAGGTCCACTGAGCTCTCCATCTCAGGAGCCCAAGCTCTGGACAGCACTGAGGCTGAGCTCCTCAGTGGTGCAGCAGGGTAGGGACTTAGAGAGGTGATGGCCAGCACAGGGAGTGTCAGGCAGGGCTCCAGGCCTGGAGAGGTAGGAGAGCCAGGACCAGGTTGGACAGAAAGGTGCTGGTGCCATAGGGGGCCAGCAGTGGGTGACAAGTTGATCCAGAAGGACTGGAATTTAGGAGAAAGCTGCAGGAACTGCCTCACCCCTGCGAGCCCCTAGGAAAGGATCTGGCTGCCTGCACGGCACAAGGGTCCCTGTAAGAGGCTGCCAGGGTGGGGCAGGGCCCACCCTCACGTCTGCCTGGGAACAGAGTCGGAGTGGTGTGAGGGGCCTCCTAGCCCTTAGCCTGCCTCAAGGGTCCCTTAGGGCTGGGCTTGGGGCTGGGCACGGCCTTCTTCCCGGACCTGAACTGTTTGGGTTTTCAGCTGATGCTGCAAGAAGGGGACAGGATGACTATGCTTCTGGCTCTGTTTGCTGACTGCGCTGGCCTCTTGCAGCAAGGCTGGCCTGCACCCTGAGACTGGTGTCACTTTCAGAGTTCAGCCACCTCCCGGGTCCCAGAGCTTAGGCGATGCCTTCCTCCATCCTGAGAGCTTCCCATCACCCAAGAGGCCTTGGGGATCCTTTGACCCCGAGGCTGGGATGGAGGGGCCACCAGGCCAGCCTGTTCTTGGGCCGGCCTCAGTGCTGAGTTGGCGGCCCAGCAGCTGCTCTGGCCGCAGAGGCCCAGTTATAAATAAATGAGCCCCTGTGCCCGAGTCATCAAGTTCTGGAGCTCCTGGGGCCCAGCTGCATTACCTCAGTGACCACAGCTTGGGCTGCCCAGGGCAGGGCCACCAGAGTCCCCCTTAGGTCACAGCCGGCCTGACTGGCTGCTCCTGGGGGCCCTCAAGGCCCAGGTTTGAGTGTCTGTCCCCTCCCCCTAGACTTGGGCCTCCCTGGACACCAGCCACCAAAGGACCAGGCCCATCCTGCCTGCACGGAGCCAGCAGCTATTTACAAACCGAAACCCGGAGGAGCGAAGTGGCTTCGACCCAGGCAGCTCCGGCCCCCACCCCCACTCCCACTCCATCCCCAGCTGCCCAGCCCCTCGACGGCTTCCGCTTTCCTTCCCAGCACGGCCTCCAACCTCCTGAGGCCCACCTGGCCCTGGACAACCCACAGGCCCCTCACGGTCATCCCCACCCCCACAACCACCTTTGGGGGTCCCCATCTCCTTGTCCCGGGAGCTCACCCATCTGTGCTCCCAGGAGCAGCCCCCTCTCTCGGGCCGGGCCACCCTGGCTGCCCAGCCGCATTCCCACAGTTCTCAGTTCCCCTTTGCACCTGGAAAGGCTCCAGCCGTGGCCACCACCGCGCCCTGCTGCTGGGCCCTGCTGGACCTCCATGGTGGACATGTAGGGTCAAGAGAGTTGGGCCTTCACAGCTCTGGCTTACTCTGGGCTACACTCAGGGTGGCTGGCAGAATCCGGTTCGGGATCCCGTATGGGCCTCGGGTCCCTGTGTGGTGCAGACTTGGCGAGACAGCGAGCATGGGCCAGGGACACCGCAGCAGGCCCCAAAGCCAGGCAGCAGGTGACACCAGGCTGTCCTTTCGGGTTGATGTTTCCCTCACCTCTGTCCCGAAGAGAATGTTCACATCTGTCTGTTCTGTGCTTGGGAAAAGCCCTTTCTCCTATCTCTGTCATTAAGGGGAAACTGAGGCTTGGAAAAGAAGGCAGCATAGCTAGAATGTCTGGACTGGGAACCTAGAATTCATCAGGAAAATCTAAGCTCTCTCTGAGTACCCCCAGGTCCATCTTGTGCCTCAGTGTCCCTGCCGGGAGGGTGGGACCTATAAGGCAGGGACAGAGCTGCTGGAAGCTTGGCAAAAAGCTGGCCATGCACCCCAGGGTCTCCCGCTACCCTGCCCATCCTTCCCCTTGACACCTCCATCGTGAGGAGTGCCCCAAGCTGGGCCCTGGCTGGCAGAGACTGGAGTCCTGGCCTGCCCTAGCCTCAGATTCTGAGTCTGAGACGGGTGCAAACTCCAACCGCCGATGCTGCGCCAGCACCGTGCTGGGTACCAGTGGCTCCATGGCTAGGACTCAGCCCCTGCCCTGGGGATCACACAGATGGACAGGAGCAGCAGGTGAACATGAAGTCCTAAGAACTTCCAGTGGATGGAAAAGTCCAACGTGGTTGCTAATCCCTGTAATCCCAGCACCCAGGAGGCTGAGACAGGAGGATTGCCATAGTTTGAGGCCAACTGGGGCTAATGAGTTCAAGGCCAGCCTGAACTATGTATTAAGACTCTGTCTCACCAAACAAAGAAAAGGAGGAAAGAGAGGCATAGATAGAGAGGTGCTCCCGTGGGAGGGCCCTGAAGGACAGGAAGGAGTTGTCCAGCAATAGCAGTATGGACAGGCGCTCCACGCTGAGTCACACTCTCATGCCTTGGCTTTGATGTTCTCATGGCATGGAGTCCCTTTCATGTTCTGGGCCTGGTGAACTCCTACCCATCCATCAAGGCCCATGGACACACTGTAGCATGAGGAGGTCTGGCCTACCCTGGTGACTGCTCAGCTCCTCTTACCGCCTAGCACCTGAACAGACCTGCAGGCCAGGCCTTCCTCACCAGCTCCACCCAGGCAAGTGTCTGCTCCCGGGCTTCGGCCCCCGCCATCCTGTGCTCCGAAAAGCACCGTTTCCCTTTTCTGGGTGACCACACGCCATGCACAGGGAATTTCCATCGCTGGCTGCGGAGTCTGTGATTCACTCAGGCCTCCATGCAGTTAACCCCTTCCGGGCCTGGCCTCCAGAGCCAGGCAGGACCCCTGAACAGCTCTGATCCCAGCATCCGCCTCACTGGTCCCCACACCTCAGACGCACAGACCTGGGGCACACACAGCGGCTTTGGGATAGGATAAGACGGTCAAATCCCGATTCTGTTGATGGCTGATGTGTGGCCTGGGGCAGGTGGGAATGGCTACTTGCATTCCATTGCTCAGCTGTAAAGTAGAGATAATTCCTACCCATAAAGTTAGTGACAAGACATTGTGCTAGAGCCAGGCAGAGAGGCTGAGGCAGGAGGATCTGAAGTTTGAGGGCAACCTAGGCTACATAAAGAGACACCATCAGTGCTGGGTGTAGTGGTACATGCTTGTCCTATCCCTCAGGCAGGCGGATTGCTGTGAGTTTGAGGCCCCCCAACTACAGAGTGAAGTCCTATCTCAACAAAACAAAACAAGACAATGTTCTGAGCCCACAGTAGGAGCTCAAGCATCCTTTTCATTAAAGGATGCTGCTCACCATAGCACAGGGTCCCCACCCCAGACCTGGCCTTCTTCCAGCAGGGAGAGAGAACTCTGGGAGGCAGCGCCCCGGATCCGCCATGTCCTCCAATTCCAGCTTTCCCAGGAGGCCCTGGACAGGCCCCCACGGGCAGGTGCATCACACACCGCTGCTTTCCCAGCTGGGTTTCAGAGCCCAGGGCACGAGCCCTGCTGTTGCCCTCATTCTGCGATTGTGGACACTGAGGCTTGAGCAGCCAGTGAACCTGGAGGCAGGGGCAGGATTCACATCTGGGCCTCAGAGCTGCTCTGCCTGGCTCTTCGGGATGGGAACCTTTGGAGAGGTTGACATAAGCGTGTGCACTAATTGGGCCCCTGCTGTGTGCAGGTGAAGGCTTCAGTTCTCAGAGCAGTGCTGCCCAGCACGCCTGGCATCTCCGCTACAGTCGAGGGGCGCTGGAGCCACAGGGGAAGGAGCTGGGAGCCACAGGGCTCAGCCGTGGGCAGAGACCCAGGGCGTCTAGACGGTGGGGGGGGGGGCGCGTGGAGTGGTGTGGGGGTGCAGCAGGGAGCACGGCCTCAGTGAGCAGCCGGGGTTTGGGCTGCCGTGGTGACAGGCGGAAGTCGCTGTGGGTGGCGGTGGGTTTGAGGTGCAGGAGGCTGAGTGATGTGGCCAGGAGGTGAGCTCTCCACCCACAGCCTGGTCAGCAGGGGCCGGCCTGTGACTGGGGGCTTCAATCCCAGCCCCCGTGCTTGAGCAGGGTCTGCCGCCCAGAGCTCTGTGCCTTGAGCCTGGGGGCATGGGGCAGGAGCTGGGGTACTGCAGGTGGAGAGACTGAGGCAGACAGTCCTGGGAGGCAGCCTGGAGGGGGAGGCAGCCCTTGAAGGACAGAGGCCACAGGGTGTGGAAGGGGCTGGGCCTGCGCTGGTGCTTAGGAGATTGAGAAAGAGGTTCTGGGAATGCAGAGCGCGCTGCCTGGGCGGGTGGGCGGGGGTGTGGTGGCCCCGGTGGAGGAGGGGAGACACTGCCGGGTCTGGTCTGGATCCTGGCTGGTGCTGGCCGGACCAGACCAGACCCCTCAGAGGTCTGGGCTCCAGCTGGGGCCGGGGCCTAAGGGAGACTTTGAGGTCCCCGGAGCACAGCCTGTTTTCTGACTTCTGTGAAATGGCACTTAGAAGGCCTGTGGCCTGGGGAGAGGGGAGGCTCAGCAGAGACTCACACAGGGACTCAGCCAAGGCTCCCCTTCCCAGGTGCACCCCTTGGCATTTCAGGACCACTTGTTGAGGTGCCCAGCCAGGGCCTGGGTCTCAGCTGCTCGATGTCTGGGTTCCACATCCCTGTGGTTGAGCTACTCTAAGTCACAAGCAACCTTTTTTTTCCCTCTAGAGACTGAACCCAGGGCCTTCATACCACGCTCCATTCCAGCTCTTTTTTGTATTTTAGACAGGGTCTTGATAAGTCTCAAAGTTGTCCACGCTGAGTTTGATCTTATAATCTTCCTGCCTCAGCCTCTGTGAATGCCGGGATCACAGGTCACCTGGTTCAAACCACTCCCGAGGCTCAGTTGCCTTGCATGTATGGGCTGGGCACAATAACAGATCTGACTTGGGATCTGGGTAAGAGAGGATGCACCCTATGATGGAACCATTTAACCAGAGTCTGAACGAAGTCTGAGCTCCACGGCCTCCCTGGCTGGCCCAGCGTGACTTCACCTCCTTGCTGGCTGCCCCACAGGCCTGGGTACAGCCTGGTCCCCTCCCCGTGCAGAGCGCCTCTCCCACCCACCTGTCAAGCTGTCCCCACACCCGTTGCCAGTGTTTGCTCAAAGGCACCCCAAAGCCAGGCATGGTGGTGCATGCCTGTCAGCTCAGCACTCAGGAGGCTGAGGCAGGAGGATCGCCACAAGTTCAAGGCCAGGCTGGGCTATGTGGTGAGTTCAAGCCTGGTATGGACTACATAGCGGGACCCTGTCTCAAAACACAAACAAAGAAGAAAGAAAGAAAGAAAGAAAGAAAGAAAGAAAGAAAGAAAGAAAGAGGAGGCACGCAGTGGTGACAGCCTTGGCCCTTTTCTGTCCTGCACCACATTGCTGTGACCACCTTATCGAGGTCACCTCCTAACATGGCTCGTGTGGTGCCTGTCATCCTCTGTCCCCCAAGAGCAGGCCCTGAGGGTAGGGCCGCCCCTCGGGGTCCCCTGGCCAGAGGAGACCCCAGGTAAAGATTCGTGGAGGGACCTACTGCTCTCGAGAGCCGCCTGAGGCTATGACCACAGCTTGGGGTCCTTGGGGGCCCCTGCGACCCGGGACACCCGGAGCCGCTCCCTGTGTCTCAACCGGGAGAGGAAGTTGCGAGACGGCCATTGCTGCGCGGCGCACTCGGCCCTTCAGGTCGGCTTTCCCAGCCGTGCTGTGGGGCCCGGCCTGTGGACGTGCCCTGTCACCCCACCCGGGGCGGGGAGGTGCCATTTCCTCATTTTCCAGCTCTGCGAGGCTCAGGGCGAGGGGTCTGGGCGCGTGGGTCGCGGCCTCCTCTGCAGAGCAGCTCTCAGGACCCAGCCGGCCCTGTGTGGCCCCCAGCTCATCATTGCACAAAGAGCACCCTGCCCAGGCCTCCTGTCCCCGCCACAGGGCGGGGAGGCATTATACCCTCACTGCCAGCCGCCCACACCTGTCTGTCCCCCACCAGCCGCCTGCTTCTGTGTCTCAGTCTGAAATGCACCAGTCAGACCTGGTAGCTCAGCATTTGGGGGTTCACCGGAGATGGGGTCTACGTGGATGTAAAAGGCGGTATTTTATTAATTGCAGACTTGTTTGTATATGGAAGACTGGAAGCGCCCAAAGCCCCTCACCTGGGGACAGCTTGTGTCAATCACGACAGTTCTGCACAGGGAGGAAGAGACGCCGGTGCAGCACCGGCCTCCTCCGTAAATAGGAAAATCTGCTCAGAGGAGAGGGCTGGACCCAGCTCAGGGCCCAGGAGTCACCCTGCGTGTGACCCCCGGCACAACGAAGAAAGAAGAAAAGGCTGAACTGCACTGTTGGAAATGCTTATAAAGAAAAGCAGGGGAAAACAACCAAAATGCCCATCAATTGCAGAGTGGATGAAAAAGGTGTGGTATTTTTATACAGTGGAATATTACTCAGCTATAAAAAGGATGCTCTTGAGGCCTTCATGGGTAAATGGAGACAACTCTTTCCTCATATGAGAAATAAATAAGAATCATATTTACAAATATCACATTATGTCTCTAGTGTAAAAAATAGTAAGAACTGTAGGAGTAATAAAACCCAAAATGTGTAATTGCTATTGTAAAAAAGAGAGGAAAAGGAAGTGCTCTAAAGGATATAACTGCACGTATGTTAGTGTGTAGAATTGACAATCACATTACTAAGTATTACTAAGTTTTTGTTGGATCGTTGAGCAGAACTGTTTGTAGTCTCACTGTTTGCATGTACACTTTGTATGCTTTACTTTTGTAACTTGAATAACTATTTCTTTTTTTTTTTTTTTTATCAGTACTGGGGATCGAACTCACGACCATGTGCTTGCATGGCAGGCGCTTATGCTACTGAGCTAAATCCCCAGCCCCTCTATTTCTAAGATGACAGTATATAATTTATCAACTAGTGATTTCTCACTCTTTATCTTTTTTGAAATTCTGTATTATTAGTACCTTTTTTTTCTGTTTTGCTTTTTTTTTTCCTCTTTAAAAAAAAAAAAAAAAGCAAGGGGGCTGGGGATTTAGTTCAGCAGTGCAGCACCTGCCTGGCAAGCGTGAGGTCCTGAGTTTGATTCCAGGTTACCCCTGCCTGCCAAAGAAGCAAGGAGCCAGGTGTGGTGGTACAGTACACATTCATTATCCTAGCTCTTGGGAGGCTGAGACAGGAGGATTTCCATGAGTTTAAGTCTAACATAGAGAGATTTTGTTTCAAAAAGGAGGAGAGGGGCTGGGGATGTAGCTCAGTGGGAACACCTGCCCAGCATTCATAGGACCCTGGGGTCCATCCCTAGCACTGCCCCTTCCCTCCCTCCTTTCTTCCTTCTTTCTTTCCTTCCTTCCTTCATTTTTCATGCTGGGGATCCAATCCAAGGTCTCCCACACATTAGGCAAGCGTCTTACCACTAAGCTACCTCCCAAGTCCTGATGCTTAATTTTTTGACCTGAAGCACCGTTGCATAGGTGTTCACTTTATTCTTCAAACTATGCATCATTTGAAAAGTCTCACAATTAGGCATGGTGGTACCCACCTGTAGAGCCAGCTACTTAGGAGGCTGAGGCAGGAGGATTTCTTGAGCCTGGGAGCTTGGGACAGCCTGGGAAACATCATGAGATCCTAGTACAGAGGATCCTCACCTTGTGAGGGACTTTACACCCTGGCAAGCCCATCATAAGTTGGAGATACTTTTAATGCATGTAACTGGTAACACCTCCTCGCTTAGCAATGCTGAACACTGTAGAAAATCAATGGTGACCAGCAACTGTGGCGACTGCCACTGCCTAGTGTCACAGAGGAATCTCAGACCACCTATTGCCAGCCAGGGAAGAGATCAAGATTGGAAATGCGAAGTATTTTGGTAGAAGTTTCTATGGATCCTTTTCACATGATCATAAAGTAAAACAGAAAACCCTAGGTGGGGTCATCACAGATCGGGGAGCGTCTGCACATCCGAGTGGTGGATACTCCACCGTCATTACAGTGAACAGCACTAGCCAGGCACAGTGATGCACGTGCTCGTCATCTCAGCACTCAGGAGGCTGAGGCCGGAGGGTCGTCATGAGTTCAAGGACAGCCTGGACTACCCGGTGAGACCCTCTCTCAACAACTTAAAGTGAAACAGATTTTAAACGACTGTCTCTGTGTCTGCAGGCTCCTGTCTGCCCCGATCGTGCCCCAGCGGACACGCAGGATCAGGTAGCAGGGGTGGCCGCCGTGGAAGAGGAAGTGGGGAGTTGTGGATCTTTTCTGTTTTGGATTTCGAACCATACACCTGTGTTATCTATTCAAACAATAAAACAATGAAAAACTTCTCATTAATTGGAGATCCCAAGATTTTGGTTTTCAAACCAGTTTCCTGCTGCTGAGGAGGAATGGCCTGGCCTCTCCTTTGTATGCAGATCCGGGGCCCACACTGATCCCCTTTACTCCGTGGTGGGGGAAGGAGGCTGGGGTACTTCTTTCTCGACCCACCCCTTCTGGCTGCCAACTGTCGCTGTCCCCTGTGTCGCCCTCCCCTCCTGGGATCCTTCTCCCCTGCCTGGTCTCTCCTTTCTCTTCTGGGGTTCTTACTTTTTTGGTTCTTCTTTTCGTTTTTGATTCAGGGTCTTACTCTGTAGCCCAGACGGGCCTCGAACTCCCAGTGAGCTCCTCCTGCCTCAGCCTCCCGAGTGGCAGCAGCACAGGTGTGCTCCATCCTGCCCTCTCTCTGTCTCTCTTGGGCCTTTCTCTTTGGCTTCTCTTTCCTTGCCTGTCCTGCCTGGCTCAGCTGCTGAGCCCTCCCGCTTCCTCCTCTCCCCCTCCGTGCTCTCCTCAGACTGTGTGACCCTGCGAGGGCCACTGAGCTCCCAGGCCTCACTTGTACAAGTGTCTGGCTTGGACCACACGGGTAAAAGCACCCAGCATGGTGCCAACAGCTTTGGTCCTTTTGGGGGCCTGGAGTGGTGGATTATCAGACCTGTGCTTGGCTCAGGATTGAACTCCCTGGTACAGGGCTGGGGCTGCAGCTCGGTGGCTGAGGCGGTGGAGCACTTGGCTGTCAACACGAGCCCTCGGTTCCACGCCCAGCACCATAGAGCTGCGCTCAGTCATTCAGGCCACAGTGCCCTGACACAGGAGGGGGATGGTTTCCCACCCGTGAAGCTGAAAATGCATTTCATTCATGAAACCCCTGCACCAGAACTTGGTCCCACAGGGCTGTCACAGCCCGGCTCCTTCCCCTTGCCATCTGGGGCAACTGGGACCCTTGTGTGGTGCTGCCAGGCTCTCTGTGCAGAGCCCAGAATCTGAATCAGCCCTGCTGATGTTTGCTGGGTCACAGGACCAGCAGGAGGTGGGACACTTCTGCCCATTTCCGGAGATTTTTGGCCTCAAATCTCTCTTTTTTTTTCTGTGCCAGGGATTGAACCCAGAGCTTTGTGTATATTGAGCAAGTGCTCTACCCCAGAGCTACATGCCAATCTCTCTTTATTTTTTTAAAATTTCAATGCAAAATTTTAATGAATAATTCACTAGGTTAGCCAGGTTGGGCTCAAATTTGCAATCGTCTTGCCTCAGCCCCCCAGGTATTGTGATTATAGGTATGTACCATCAAGCCTGGCTCATCCCAGCCTTTTAAAATTTCATTTTGAGAAGGATCTGGATAAATTTCCCAGGCTGGCCTCAAGCTTTTGATCCTCCTGCCTCAGCCTCCTGAGTAGCTGGAATTCAGACCTGTGCCTTGGAAGCTGGTGCCTTCTGCAACTCTTACAGGCCAGCTTGGCCGGGCGGAGCAATGGGCGCTCTTCCTTCTATAGGACCCCGACTCAGTCCTCGGGAGCTTGGGGCTGAGCACCCCACCTTGCAGGCGCCTGGACTCAGCACGCAGATTCCCCTCCTTCCTGCTCAGCCCTGCTCACAGCCGCAAGGACAGCAGCTCCCTGCTCCCGAGATCTTTCCTGGCTGCCTCCGTGGCCCCGGCCTGTTCCACTGTGAGCTGAGTGAACTCACGGCTCCGGATGCACCCAGCACGCCCTCTCCTATGCCCACCCCGCAGCACCCCACCAGGGTGACACACAGAAGACACTAATAAAAAGGGGTGTGAAGGCAGGAGCACAAAAGAGCACAGACAAGCCGGACCCAGACAACGGACCGGGAGTGCAGGCCCCAGCAGACGTGGCAGTGAGGCCTGGTCCCAGGAGCACTCCTGTCCCCTGTCCCTCATCCGGGGCTGGCTTAGGGTGGTCAGGGGAGGGGTCAGCTTTCTCCCTGCCTCCCAGGGTGGCCCTCAGTCAGGTTCCTAGGAGCCCCGAGGACCTGTGACCTGGTCCCTGCTGAAAGTCCCCAGTGGAGACACAAAAACATCAGGGAACACAGAAGGGGATTCCACATAACGCCGACACCAGGCCGAGTTCCACGGTGTCTGTCTGTCTATCTTTCTTTCTTTGTTTCTTTCTTTCTTCTTTCTTTCGTGGCTCTGGGGGTTGAAGTCAGGGCCTCCACACTGAGCTACGTCTTCAGCCCTATCCATGTTTTACTTTGAGACAGGGTCCAGCTGATTAAATTGCCCAGGCTGGGGTTGAATTTGGGATCCTCCTGTCTCAGGCGCCCAGAGTGCTGGGATGACAGGTGTGCCCATCATGCCCAGTTTGTGATCTCTGGGTTTTTCTGGCAGTAAGGAAAAACTTCAGGACCTGGGAATCCACAGACAGGAAGGAGGCAGGCTGGCTGCAGTGGGGAGGGGATGGGAAACAAGGATTTAGATGGCACAGAAGAGGAAACAAAGGTACAGGAAGTTCTTCCTGCAGAAAGGACTCACCAGAGACCAAACAGACAGAAAAGTCTCTACTCATCCCTCTACCCCCTGGAGTAGATCCTGCCCCATTTTCTAGCACAGAGCACAGGACTTGAAACTCAGTTAATGTTAGAGGGTGCAGGGATACATGTGTGGCTGGATGGATGGAAGGATGGGTGGATGGAAGGATGGGTGGATGGGTGACTAGGGTGCACGGTGAATGAATCAGTGGATGAGTAGGTAGGCAGATGGGTGGATGGATGGGTGAGTGAAAGATGGATGGATAGATAGATGGATGGATGGGTGGATGGATAGATGGTTGGATGGATGCACAGATGTGTGGTGATGTGAATGGGTAGATGGATGAATGGGTGGATGGGTGGATGGGTCAATAAATGGGTAGATAGATAGGTGGGTAGATGGATAGGTATAGTTAAATGGATGGAAGGATGAATGGATGGATGGATGGATGGATGAATGGACAGATATGTGGATGAATGGATAGATGGATGGGTGGATAGATAGATGGATAGGTGGAGGGGTGGATGGGTGGATGGATCAATAAGTGAATTAATGAATGAACCTATAGAGAGATGAACCAACAGGTGATCAGATGGGTAGATGAATATATGTGGATAAACTGATGGAAAAGAAGACTGACTAGTAGACTGATAGTAGGTGGCTTGGCTGATATATGCACACACAGATGGCTAGATCAACAAGTAGATAAAAAGATGAGTAAGTGGATGAAATGGCTGAAGATAAATGGGAGCTAAATAAAAAGACAGATAAATGAATATATGGGGAGTTGATGGGTAGACAGATGAGTGGGCAACGAGACAGAAAAATAGGAAAGTAGGGTGGACACACAAGCAAGGTTTGTAGCCTGGTGAGGGTTGAGAAAGCCAAGAGATCAGGGCTGGGACGTGGAAGCAGCCATGCTACTCAGGAGCTGGGAGGGACAGAGTGAGGGGCACACTCTGCCGCCGCAGGAGGAGCCACAGACATAGCCCCCGGAGCTCAGCGCAGTGGAGGTAGAAGCTTGCAGTGCAGTCCAGGGCCCACAGAGCTAAGCCTGGCAGTTGGGATCAGAGCCTTCAGCCTGCCAGGCTCACCCCTAAAGTAAAGGCCCCACTAGCTGTGGTGATCCACACCTGCAATCCCAGCACTGTGAGGCTGAGGCAGGAGGATTCCCAGTCCAACCCGAGGCCACTTGTAACTTATCGAGACTCTGATCCAAATACACAGGGAAAAAAAGGGCTTGGTGTAACTCTGTCTGAAGGCCTGGGGTTCAACCCTAGTAATGCCAAAAAACCAAAAACCAACTAACCAACCAACCAACCAAACAAACAAACAAACAAAAAAACAAAAAGGCAGTGTAAAGTCCCCAAGAGGCCACCATTCTAACCGTAATGATGACTGTTGGCCGCATGGGTGTCTTTGTGCTGGGGCCTGGGAGCCTTGCTAGGCCTGAGCGCAGTTACATGGGCCTCTCGGAGACCGAGTTGGCCTGTCCCCTCCGGCCCCAGCTTCCTCTGGGCAGGGGGCCGGGCCCCATGGCTTCCCAGGCCAGCCCCTTGAGCGCCACCTGCCCCAGGCGGCCAGAGACTTCCTGTAGCGCAAGAGATTTATGCAAACGGGCTGGGGCGGTGATGTCACCCCAAGGGGACTATCTCCCAGCGGCAGGCCCTTCGATAAAATCAGGAACTTGCGCTGGCCCTGCAATGTCAAGGGAGGGGGCTCCCCGAGGGCTCCTGTAGCTCAGGGGGCAGGCCCAAGCCCTGCGTCCACCCCACGGCCCGACCGTCCAGTCCCCCGACGGGGCACCCCGTCCCGAGGGGCTCCGCTCTGGCCCCCCCGGAGGCAGGGGACCCGACCCGCACAGAGCTCGGCTGGATGTTACAGGCGTGCAAGATGGAAGGGTTTCCCCTCGTCCCCCCTGTGAGTATCGGGGCCCCTCCGCCAGCCCAGCTGGCCCTCGATGCCCATCGCTGTCCCCAGCTGCTATCAGTGGGAAGTCCAGGCTTCCTCCAGGGCTCCTGGCAGCGGCTTCCCAGAGCGTGGCTGAGGGTTGAGGGCCGGGCCCATGGTGGGGCTGTGCTCGGTGGGGCCTGAAGGGATTATTTATAGATGGGCTGGTGGCAGGGTGCTGGGCAGCAGGGCGGGAGAAGAGAAGACAGGCGACTGGCTCAGGGACAGTGAGCAGCCAGGACAGGAAAGGGCACAGGTCTCAGCCCAGGGCCAGGGGGCTCCTGGAGACGGAGGCACTGGAACTTGGTCCCTGATGGATCCCCAGTGCCCTCTCTGGGGCCTGGCACCAAGGACTCGGTCATTGGCCAAAAGGCTCAGGCCTGGGGCCTTCAGGTCCCAGAGAGGTAGGGGCAGGGCCCAGCTGGGCCAGCGAGGGACACTGCAGTTAGGGTCGCTGCCAGGGCTGGGCTTCAGGGAGTAGCAGGCAGGGGCTGTGCCCAGGTTGAGACTGAGATTGGGCTGGGGTAGGACCCAGGGTGGCATCGGCCTGCAGTTAGGGTGGGACGAGGCCAAGGGCCAAATGTTGGTGAAGACGCAGTGGCCCCAGGGGACCCCGGCAACAGCGGGCAGCCAGTGGGGCCGATCTGCACTGCTGCCCACTCTGGTTGACAGTTACCGCCTTGGCAGGTGTCAGTCCAGGGACCCTGGGAGAGGATCCTGGGTGCCACCTCCCACCCCCAGTCCTTACTCTAGGGTGCCAGGAAGCGCCTGCCCCCTGACTCAGCTCTCCCTGTCCGGAGACAACAGCCACCTTCCTCTCCACCCCGCCCAGGGGCCCTGGAGTGGCACCAAGGCCTGGCACCTCTGTCCACAGCTTGCCTGTACCCCTGGGATCTGGGGGGCTGCCCCAATGCTGAGCTCCTACCCCTTGCTTGGCCTGAGCCTGGCACAGACAGGACCAGATTGCCTGCCCTGCCATGCCCACTATACCCTCAAATGTGCCTCTACTGGGGACCTGGGAGATGTTGGGACAGCCAGGGGCCCTAAGAGTTGTCCCCACCAGTGCCCACTCTGCCTCAAGAAAGCCACAGGTGTTGGGTGTGGTGGCACACATCTGTAACCCCGGCAGTCTGGAGGCTGAGACAGGAATATTGCCATGAGTTTTTTTTTTGTTTTGTTTTTTTGAGACAGGGTCTCACTATGCAGTTCAGGCTGGCCTTGAGCTCACTTTGTAGCCCAGGCTGGTCTTGAACTCTCAACAATCCTCCTGCCTCAGCCTCCCTCCCAAGTGCTGGGATTACAGGCGTGAGCCACCACGACCGGCTACTGCTGTGAATTTGAGGCCAGCCTGAGTTTGAAGCCATAGAGAGACCTTGTGGCAAAAAATAGATAAATTAAGAAAAATAAAGAAAACCACAGGCCTAGGGGTTTGGCCATACTGTCCTTAGCCTTGGCTCCCAGCCCCTGAACTGCAGTGGGGCAGGATCTTCTGCCCCCACCCAGCTCTATGTCCAGTGCCAGGGGCCACGCTGAGTACCACCAAGGGGTGGGCAGCCCTGGCCCCCAAGCCAAGCCTGAGGGCCACAGTGGCTGTTGTGCAATCTGTGCTCGCACTCTGCAGGGCTGGGTGATCGGGTGACTGTTGGGAAGGCTGGGGGCTCCTGTGCCCCAGCTGGTGTGGGGGGCAGGAGAGTGGGGGAAGGGAGAGAGGGAAGCACCCCAGCATAGGAGCTGGAAGAGCAGAGCGAAAATCACAGCCCTCTGTCTGTCCCTTGGCCCCCACAGCCTGCCTGGGTGACCTCTGTACAAACTGCCGGTCCCTGTGCTGCTCACTGTGGTGGCCCTGTGCTTGCCTGGGGCAGACAGTGAGGGGAGGCCAGGGCTCAGGGCACTGTGGGATGCCAGTGGCATGGGGGGTGAGGTGGTGGCCAGGACGCTTCGTGTGCGGGTATCGATTCACACACATCCGCGTGCACCCGAGGGTGTGCATGTGTGACCTTGGGTGACCCAGTAGCTGTGAAAGTGTGTGACAGGACTGGGCTGTGACAGCCTGACTGAGTGTGAGGTTGGCTGTACCTGGCCCCAGGGAAGTGGTAGCTCCAGGTGGACCAGAGAGGCAGGCAGGGTTGGCCCCGGCCCAGGCAGGTGTGTGCAAGGCCTGGTCCTTCTCTGACCTGCGATGGCCACCACTGGCTGCGAGGTTGCACAGCCCTGACGCCCTCTCTCTCCACAGCCATCAGAAGAGCTGGTTTCCTATGACGCGGACCTGTACCAGCGGCCCCCACATGAGTACTACCAGTACCTCAGCAGCGATGGGGACAGCCACAGCGGTGAGTCGGGGCCGGCGGGGGACAGGAGAGCCACAGGGGCCTTCTTTGGAGTCCCAGAACCAGGCCAGTTTCCTCCCCACGTACCTGGTCTGTCTTTGTGGATATTTTCAAAGATGATGCATGGGCCTGGAGCTAAGGGACTTGCATAGGGCCCAGCTGGGTCGAACCACACCCCAGTGATCAGTGAAGGGCTCAGCACCCCCGCCTCGCCCATGGGATGCCAATGAGACAGCCAAGCCCTCTCACCGATTGGAGTGGAGCCCCCCACCCTGAGCTAGGAGGGAGCCCCTGAGGAGCCCTTGCTCAGCAGAGGTCAAGGCCTCTCACACTGCAGGGCATGAGAGGGTCAGGGAAGGGTCCTGGCCTGGAGGACCGCCTCTCCATCCAGGTCTCTCACCGTCCCCCAACAATCCTAGCCTTTTCCTAGAAAAAATTCAGTGCTGAGGAGAGAGGGATTGGGTACCAGGGACTTGGGCAGAAGATGTGTTGCAATAAGGACACAGAGTGGATTTGGGGAGCCTGGTGTGGTGGAGCACACCTGTAATCCTAGCACTCAAGAGGCTGAGGCAGGAGGATCACCTTGAGTTCCAACCCAGCCTAGGCTTCATAGTGAGTTTAAAACCAAGCTGAACTACATAGTGAGATCTTATCTCAAAAAGGAGAAACCCAAAAAACAAACAAAACAAACCCAGAGCTAAAAAGGCTTTGAAAGAATCCTCTTCAAGTCTATTTGTGAGGGCACAGACGAATTCTATGCTCTCCGTGGGAAATCCAGACACCGTGGAGGGAAAACCTCCCTCTGCTCCCTGACCCCCCTGCTCCGCTTCCTCCCGGCCTCCTGAGTGTGAGGAGGGCGCCCCCTGGTGGCTGACCTGCCGCAGCCCAGGCTGCTGTCTCCAGGCCCAGGCTCTTCTTCGTGGAGCTGCAGGGGGACCCCTGGTTGGATGCCTGACGCTCTGCCTTAGGCTGAGCCTTGAACACCCCGAGACTCAGGTGTTCCTGGGCCTGTCGGCCCCACCCTCACCGCCCTTCCGGTCGCCTGCTGGAAGGCGTTACCTGAAGACTCTCAAGGACCCTCAGCTTCATCCTCTGAGACTACTTTTTAGGTAGTTGTGCTTAGTGCCAAGGCTGCAGGGAGGAGTTGGGTCCTGTAAGTGTGCTTTTCCACCGAGGACCAGGGCCTCTCTGAGCTCCCCTTTCCTCCTCCCTAAAATTGAGAGCATGCACTCTAGGAGGCAGAGGCAGGAGAATCACGAGATCAAATCCAGTCTGGGCAACTGATGTTGTTTGAGAATTAAAAACTAAAAAGCGACTGGGATGTAGCTCAGCGTGAAGTTCAATCCCCAGTACCAGAAGAAAGAGGGAAAAAAAGCACGACAATACCGACATGTCGTCCTTTGTGAGGTCGGGTGCTGTGCAGGAAGCTCAGGGTGCACGCAACAGCGTGAGTGCCTCCCCAGGCCGGAGGAGGAGGAGCTCGGGGCAGGGAAGGGGTGACTGCCTTGTCTGGAGTCCCAGCCGGCAGAGGAGGTCGCTGCGCAGGAGTCTGACTGCAGGCCCGGGACTGGCATGGGACATGGAGTGCACCAAGGGCCACCGCAGGAGGGACCTCAGCGGGAGAGCCAGGGCCACCAGCAGGGGGCTGGAGATGCAGTGCAGGGGTGGGTGCGGCATGGGGTCCCTTTTTCTTGTTTTCTGTGATGGGAACTGAGCCTGCCACCTCCCCCTGGATGGGCAGACGCTGTACCTTCCAGCCATGCCCATGCCCTGCTGGAGTGTGGATCAGGGAAATGACCTGATAGGACACACGCATGTGTACACATGTCTGTGCCTGTGGTGAACATTTAAAAACACTCTGAGAGGCTGAGGCAGGAGGGTTGCAAAATAAACAAACAGCCCAGAGCAGGGTCCAGCAAGTGTAGGTTGTGGTTTTCGATCTTCTCAGGACCTCATAAGAAAGGGTGTGTGGAGGTGAGGGGGATTCTCTTCTTGTTGTTCTCTTCCTGTTTCCCTCCTGTCTACTCTGTCACTTGATGGATGGCAGTTTTGCCGTGTGCAGCACTTTTTTTCTTTAGAAACTTGAAGCAGCAGAATTGGGGAAGAGTGGATAGGAGGTGGCAGACACTGACACCTGGGCTCATGGGATCTGGGAAGACACACACGGAGCACCACGCCACCAGCCGCATCCCCACCCCACCCTGCCCTTTCAAGAGCCCAGCTTCGTGGCACTGCACACGCGCTCGCCGGAACTCCTGTCATCTTGAAAAACTGGGTCTCTGTCCACTGAGCAGCTCCCGGATCCCCTCAGCCTCCAGACCTGAGCCATTGTTCTTTCGTTGTTGCTATGGTTGCCTTTGTTGTATGGGGGATCAAACCCAAAGCCCGTGCCCTGGGCTCCATTCCCAGTCCATTTTTCTATAATTTTATGACAGGGTCTCACTAAGTTGCCCCAGCTAGAGTCAAACTTGGCAGTCTTCCTGCCTCAGCCTCTTCTCAGAGCGCTAGGATTAGAGGCATGCCCCACCACGCCTGGACACCACCTCTTCTACTTTCTATCATTATAAATTTGACCACTTCAGGTGCCCTACATAAACAGAACCATTCCTTCATGACTGGTTCATTTCATTTAGGCCAGTGTCCTCAAGGTGCGTCCCTCTGGTAGAAGTCTGCTTCCTTTTTTAGGCTGAGTAGTACTCCACTGTATGTATGGACCACATTTGTTCATCTGCCCATCCCTGGAGGGACATGTGGGCTGCCCACATCCTTTGGCTACTGTGACTAATGCTGCTGTGCCCCTGGGAGAGGACGGCCCTTCAAGACTCCAATTTCAACCCTTCTGCATTCAAACTTGGTGGTGGGATTTCTGGGTCTTATGTTGATTCTAGTGCTAAGTTTTTCTGGAACTGTCCTAGTCCTTTTTAGAGTGGCCGCACCATTTTACACTTGCTGCATGAGCCACAAGATTTCTAACTTCACATTTTCACCACTACTGACCATCTTCTGTTTCTTTTTATTTTATTTATTTATTTTTATTGGTACTGGGGATTAAACTCATGACCACATGCTTGCAAGACAGGTTGCTGCTGAGCTAAATCCCAGCCCTGCTTCTTTTTATTTTAATAGTAGTCATTCTAATTGGTATAACAAAATTTGCTATTTGTGATGAGATTGGTGAGTGAAACAGACACCCTGTCCATCCACTCACCCATCACCCATCCATCCACCCACCATCCATCCATCCATCCATCCATCCATCTAAATCTCCACATACACTTTCAGTCTTGTACATCACTAAGCAACCCCTACCCATCAATTCATTCACACACCCATCTACCCACCCACTCACCCTCCTTTCTGTCTTCCCTTCCACCTACTGCATGTCCCTCCACCCACACCAGCCTACTTATCTCAGTATCCAGTGTCTTCTACACACCAGGCACATTGTAAGACACTTAGAAATAAATAGAACACAGGCCCTATCCGACCCATAATTCATAACAGGGAAGAATAAAATTCTAGCTGGGTGTACTGGTGCATGCCTGTAATCCCAGTGCTCCGGAGGCTGAAGCAGGAGGATTGCTAAGGTTCAAGGTCAGCCTGGACTACATAATGAGACCCTGTCTCAAAAAAAGAAAGAATTTAAAGAATTTAGGGGCCAGGGATATAGCTCAGCAGCATTAGCACCTGCCTGGCAAGCACAAGGTCCTGAGTTTGATTCCCAGTATAAAAAAAGAGAAGGCTTTCTTTCTTTCTTTTTTTTTTTTTTTTTGTCTTTTTCCTTTTTATGGGTACTGGGGATTGAACTCACAACTGCCTGCTTACAAGGCAGGTGCTTATGCCGCTGAGCTAAATCCCCAGCTCTGAGAAGGCTTTCTTAAAATGACTAATGAAGCACTAATTAGCTTCAATAAATGAAATGACCTCTTTTGGGGGCAGGGGATATAGCTCAGCAGCATAAGCACCTGCCTGGCAAGCCCGATGTCCAGAGTTCGATTCCTGGTACAAAAAAAATTTTTTTTTGAAACTCTAACAATTAAGAGACTAACAGGTGCAATTAGACCCTGAACTTTGTGCTCTCTGGGCCTCAGTTTCCGAACAATTTTCAGGAGGAGCTGGGTCCCAGAAGCCCTCATGCAAAGGTCTGTGATTTCTTGTGGTTTTCCCTGACTTTCGCTCTCTTGACTCCCCTTCTTTCTTCTGTTTTGAGTGTCCTTTCGCTCCTGGGAGAGCCCTGGGCTTCAGGCTGGGGTTTCTGTCCTGAGGAGTTAAGGTCACCTGGATGACTCCTCAGGCTTCGTTTTTCATGTGGACTTATTTTGAATATCACGTTCTTTGTCCTGGTGACAACTAAATAAGAATAGGGATGTGTGGATGAAAGTCTGGTATGTTAAGAGGGAGGAAATGAGAGATCAAGATGAGTGGGTTATTTCTGGCTGGCAGGAGGGTGGATGTGGGTGAGCGAGTGACTAGATGGATGACAGTTGGATGGATGATGGTTTAGGGATGACTGGATGGATGGGTGGATGGATGGATGGATGGGTGGATGGATGGGTGGATGGATGGATGGATGGATGGATGGGTGGATGGACGGATGGGTGGATGGATGGATGGGTGGATGGATGGATGAGTGGGTGGATGGATGGATGGGTGGATGGATGGATGAGTGGGTGGATGGATGGATGAATGGATGCTTGGTGGGTGCATGAATAAATGACGGATGATAGATAATGAATGATGGGTGGATGATGGAAGACCAAGAACTGCGTACATGTCTCAAAGCTTCACTAAACATCTTGTTCCTCAGCCGTGGTGTGGTGTAGTGATAATAGTTTAGTCTTGTGATAGACCCAAGTGGCTTTGGGTCCTGACTACTCATGACTGCACCGACCCCTTTGAGTCATAGATTCCTTGTATGCAAAAGGAAGACAAATGCAGTGATCATCTCTTCGGAACTGGGATGAGGATGAGGTGCGGTATGGAATTAGATGCTCAGCACACTGTCTGTTACATTTCACAGACATTACAAATTGGCGGCCCGGGAAGGAGAGAGCGCCCTCTAGAGGTACTGCTGACCTGCTGCTCTTCCCGGGAGCTCGGAGCCAAGTGAAGGGCCTCTGGGTGGCACAGGGAAGGGACAGAGCAAGATATCCATGAGGAGAGGTCCAGAAACAGGAGGTTCCCTTGTCTTGGTTTCTCAGACGCCCTGAATTTGCAGGTTTCTGCTCACCAGACAGCATTTATCGAACAACTGCCTGAGCACCCACATCAGCTGCCAAGGCCAGACTTCAGTGGGGCCTTTTGAAACCTTGCTCAGGTTTGCAGGTTCGAGCAGACCCCAAGGAAGGGGTTCCGGTTTCCATGAGTACAATCCTCCTCAGGCGTGGTGGTGCATGCCTACAATCCCAGCACTACAGGGGGATGAGGCAGGAGGATCTGGAGTTTGAGCCCAGTCTAAGTAACTTGGTAATTAGGGTGATCCTGTTTTACAATAAAACAGCTCAGTGCAAATGCCCTGGGTTCAAGTCCCAGTGTAGGCAAGGGGTCAGGAGTGTGGGGATCTACAGGAAAGAGGAAGCTGGATCTGACCCCCAAAATCCCAGAGCCCCATACAGCCCCTTTGCTAAAGACCGGAGCTCTTGCTATCGCCCCGTGGGATGAAAGCACAGATGAGCCCCCCGGTTTCCCTTCCAGACTCAGAAACTTGAGTCTCAACCTCAGGCCGGGCTTTAGTCAAAGCACCCAGCAGGCATCGGTTCATTTGCCTCCTACACCAGACCCACAAAATGAGGAGCATAATTAACCTCACCAAGATGGGGAAACAGGCCAGGAAACTGCCTGTTATGAGCATTAAGCGGCACATCCAGGGTTGAAGCTCGGCTTTGTCCAAGTCACAGCGCCTCCCAGTGGCGGACCCAGGCCACCTGCACTGTGGTTCCCCAAATCTCACAGACACACCCTGCCTCCCTGCTGCACCTCTGACTTCCAGAGTGGGGCATCCCCGCCAGGGTCACATGGTAAAGCTACCAGACAGCAGATCCTGGTCTCAGCTACTGGGAAAGCTGAGGCAACAGGATTTCAAACTGAAAGCCACCCTGGGCAACTTAGTGAGGGCCTGCCTCAAATTCAAAAATAAAAAAGCACTGGGGCTACAGCTCACAGGCAGAGTGCTCGCCTGGCATGCACGAGGCTCCAGAATGAGAAAGAGGAGAAAGGGAGGGAGGGTTAGGGAGGGAGGAAAAGAGAGAAGGACAGAAGGAGGAGAAAACAAGCAAGCAAGCGATATTTAGTCCGGAGCTAAAAGACACACTTTGTTTCTTAGGGACGTGTGGATGTGTGTTTTCGAGACAGAGGAAACCAGACAGACTTCTGTGTGTGCGCGCGCATGTGTGTGTCCTGTGTACGTGCCCAGCAGACTCCGGCCGGTCTCACACATTCCCTCTGGGCCACATGAGAAAATCCCTTTTATCCCTTTACACCACTCTTGTATTTTGGGCCCCAAATTGTGCCCAGGAAGACCCGTGGGCATGCGACAGTTTTTGTTCCTGGAAAAGGTGCCCAGAGGAACCAGCCGTGCCCGAGATCTTCCTTAGCCAACTCGGGTGCCAGGGCAGTGGCTGTCGGGCTCCAGCCCGCGGGTCCAGGCTTGCGGCACTGGCGGGAGTTTCCAGAGAAGGCTCCTGGCACCTCGGGCACAGCATTTTGTCTGGACAAGTTTCGGTGTGTGAGGGACATTATTAGTCCCGTGACTGCCATCACGTGACTGTGGCCGTGTGACGAGGCCACGTGACTGTGGGCAACCAGGAGCTGGAGCCGTGGGAGGCTCTGGAGGGGGAGGAACTGGGGTTGGGGCGCAGCATGGGAGGTGAAGGTGCAGTGGGAGCCACGCCAGCTGTCCCCTGGGCCGGGGTGCTGGTTGGTGACCGCGACCCTGACCATCCCTGCAGACCATTACTGGGACTTCCACCCCCACCACGTGCACAGCGAGTTTGAGGCCTTCACCGAGAACCACTTCACCGAGCTGCAGAGCGTGCAGCCCCCGCAGCTGCAGCAGCTGTACCGCCACATGGAGCTGGAGCAGATGAATGTCCTCGAAGCCCCCATGGTGCCGCCCCATGCTGGCCTCGGCCACCAGGTGCGAGTGCTGCACCCCACTGTAAGGGTGGTGGGGATGGAGCCCCTCAGGAAGCCGACGTGGCTTCCTGCCTGCGTGCAGCAAGGTCTGCACTGACCCCCGAGCTGACCTTGGACTCAGCACCCCTTATCTCCCCCAGATGATGCCTGGCTCCCCATATCCGGACCCCTGCGGCTGCGACCCTCACTAGCCCCACCCCCGTCACTCACTACTGACCTCATACTGGCCCTGCCCACGGCCCATGGCCCACCGACCCAGTTCCAGGGACCCTGACCCCATCTATAACCTCTGACCTATGACCTACTGACCTCCATACCCCCCCCTCACTGGTCACCTGCACACTCCTGTCCCTAACCCGCTACCTCCCATCCCCTTTTGCCCCCTCTGCAGCTGGGAGGGTGTCAACACCCTGCCTAATATGGTTCCCTGGGTGCCCCCCCCCCCAGCTTCCACCTCCCCAGTTTCCCCCGCAGGTTCCGCCCCAGCACCGACGCTGCCACCCCTGCAGACCCCTCAGCATCCAACCTTTCTCAGCGTGTCCTCCCCTCCTGCCTTCCCAGGTCTCCTACGTGACCCGGATGTGCGTCCCATACCCACCCCTGTCCCCAGCGCAGCCCAGCTCAGATGAGGAGGAGGGCGAGAGGCACAGCCCCCCGCTGGAGGTTTCGGACGGTGAGGCCGATGGCCTGGAGCCTGCGCCCAACCTCCTGCACGGGGAACCAGGTACTCGTCCCCACCCCCAACCAGGCTATGCCATCCCCTGTGGGGACGTCTATGAGGGGCTCTGCGGGTGTCTGCGCGCAGTGTGCGCTGGCTGCAAAGCGCGGCTGCAGACGTCTGAAGCCTCAGCCTGGGAGTGTGTGTGTGCGCAAGACGGTGTGATTGTGTGTGCGTGTGCATGAATGTGTGTGCACTGGTCATAAACTGGGAGCAGCTCACTACATACTCTCCTGCCCTGGCCCCCAGATGTGGGGGTGCTCCAGAAAGGACCCTCTCAAATCCCTGAAGCTGAGGGTCCCCATGACCCCTTGAGGTGGGAGCCCCCCACAGGTGAGGATTCCTGGTCCCTCCCAACTTCCGAGGTGAGGCCCCCCGGAGGTGAGGGTCTCCCCGGAGGTGCAGGTCCCCTGGAGGTGAGGGCCCCCAGAGGAAGGGTCTCTCCGAAGCTGAGGGTCCCCCAGAAGTGCTGGTGCCCTCACTCCCGGCCCTGCTCCCCAGACGGGGTCCCCGTGCCCTGCTGCCCGCCCCACCGCTGTGTCCCGCAGGCAGCAAGAAGAAGATCCGCCTGTACCAGTTCCTGCTGGACCTGCTGCGCAGCGGCGACATGAAGGACAGCATCTGGTGGGTGGACAAGGACAAGGGCACCTTCCAGTTCTCTTCGAAGCACAAGGAGGCGCTGGCGCACCGCTGGGGCATCCAGAAGGGCAACCGCAAGAAGATGACCTACCAGAAGATGGCGCGCGCGCTGCGCAACTACGGCAAGACGGGCGAGGTGCGCAAGGTGAAGAAGAAGCTCACCTACCAGTTCAGCGGCGAGGTGCTGGGCCGCGCGCCCGCGCCCGGCCGCCTGGCGCCGCGCTGAGCGCCGCCTCGCTGGACTCCGCCCGCCCGCTCTGTACAGCTCCCGCCGCCCCTGAGAGCGAAGCTCTTCTCAGCCGTGGCGGGCCGCCCCGTGCGCGCCCTGTGCGGCCACACCACCCTCCCTTCCGCCGTCCCCTGGTTTTTACCCGAAGCCGGACACCACAGGCCACAGGGGTCTGCCCGGTGCAGACGGGTCCTCCGGGTGATTAGGGGGCTGGGTCCTATGGAAAGGGCCACGGAGCGTGGTGGCGCACGCCTGTCCTCCCAGCACGCGGGAGGCTGAGGCAGGAGGATTGCTGGGAGCTCCAGACCAGCCCCGGCTACACAGCGAGCTCCTGTCTCAGAAAACAAAAGTATAAAAAAATAAAAAAAGGCCCTCGGCACGCCTGATCAATGACTTTTTTTTTTTTTTTTTTTTTTTTTTTGTCAGTACTGGGGATCAAATTTACGACCATGCACTTGCAAGGCCGGTGGTTATGCCGCTGAGCTAAAAACCGAGCCCCTGATCAATGACTCTTGAAGTAGAAATGTTAGATTTGACCCAGTAATGATGGCAGTGTGGGTGAACACAGCAACAAAACTGAGTTTTTTGGTCATGCAGCACCAGAAGCCTTAAGAGGAGGAGTCTAACACCAGGCCCTGCTGTGAGCTGTGCGGGGCCACACAGGGGCAGTGACCGTTTGCTGCCCAGCTGGGACTCCAGCTGAGTCTCCGTCCACCCGGGAGGAGGAACCACACCCCAAGACCCAGAAGTGTCCTGCAGGGCCCTGAGCAGGGAAACCTCTAAGTCTCCCCAGGTAGCAAAAGGTGACTGCGAACTGGAGTGCGGCAGCACAGGCCTGTAATCCCAACCCTGGAAGGCTGAGGCGGGAGGATGCTCAGAGGAGCCCAACCCAATCAGCGTAACAATTTAGTGAGATCTCATCTTCCACATAAAAAATAAAAAAGGGCTGGAGATTCAGGTCGGAGCAAAGGCTCTGGGCTCAATTCCCAGGACAAAAAAAAAAAAAAAAAAAAAAAAAAAAAAGCCGCATATCCGTAATCTCAGCACTCAGGAGACTGAGGCAGGAGGATCACTGCAAGTTTGAGACCAGCCTGGGCTACAAAGTGAGCTCAAGGCCAGCCTGAACTATGTGCAGTGAGAGCCTGTCTCAAAAAGACAAAAAAAAAAAAAAAAAAAAAAAAGAAAAAGAAAAGAAAAAAGAAAAAAAGAGCTCACAAGAGCTAAATGGTGTTCAGTGTCCTGTTCTGAATCGGTCTCCTCAGAAGTGGACAGCGTGGCTGTAGCCTGTAAAGGGATGGTGAATTGTTGTCATCTGGAGATGCCTGTGGGTGGCGCCGCTCCCTCTGCAGACAGAGATGCAGGAGGCCTGGGGCGGGCAGGTCCCCAAGTATCCACTTCATAGAAACCAGTGGCTCTGCCAGAGTAGAGAGGACAGGAGGCCACAGAGGACAGGAAGAGGCCGGAATGAGAGATCTGAGCGCTCGTGAATCACGCGCTGAGCGGGTCACTGTTTCCCCTCCGACTCCCAAGTGTGTTTAGAGCTGCACTGTACCCTCATTGCAGGCTCACCCGGTCCCCCCAGTCCTGTAACCCCAGCCCCCAGCACTGATGCCTCTTTCCCCAGCCAGGACCCCAGGGTGCCGCAGCGCAGGCTGATGTAGGCACCCTATGTGCTGGGCAGTGCCTAACGGGCTCTCATTTAGTGTTTTGTTTTTTAATTTACAAATTTATTGCAGTACTAGGGATTGAATCCAGGGCCCTCACACTGAGCTACCTCCATCGCCCTTTTAAATTTTGGGACAGGGTCTTTTTAAGTCCCTAAATTCCCCAGTTTGGGCTCTGATTTGTGATTCTCCTGCCTCTGCATTCCAGAGTGGTGCGATTACAAGCCACAACGACCGACTTTTACTTGTAAATCTACTTCATGTGTGTGACGATCCTGGCTGCTGGGTGCTGCTAGCCACCCCCCCAGCCCGTTTTGAAGAGGAGGAAACTGGGGTGCTGCAGGGTTCAAAAGTAGGGGCGCGCCATGAGTTGGGGACACTGCCGCTGCCCAGCAAGAATGCCCTTGATTGGCCAGCTCCTTCCAGGCAGCACACTCCTAGGACATCAGATAGTCACAAGGCAGTGGCCTACCGCCCTAGGGGAGACCAGTCAGGGATGAGGTGGCCCTGCCTTCCCCCAGACCTCAGCTCTCTAGATCTGTCTATATTTAGCAGGTGGCGGGCAGGATGCAGATAAGCCGCTGGGAAGGGGAGGTCGCCATAAATAGTGCTGCACGCACACAGGACCCCTCATCCCTCTGGGTGGCCGCACCTGCTCTGTGCCTGGTGTAACTTCGATCAAGATGCCTGAGCCAGCGAGGAAGCCAGGTAGCTGCGGTGGAGTCGGGTCTTGGTTTGGCCTCAGGGTTGCACAGTTGGGGGACAGCAAAGAGGGAGCCCCGAGGGGGACCAGAGCTCAGGCCTCGGGCACTAGGGATCAGGTGGTCCCGCCTGGTCTTCTCCAGCCTGTTTCTCTCCTCATCTCCCTGGGAGCTGAGGGTGGATGGGGCGGGGGCAGGGGCCCCAGGAGGAGAGAGCACCAAGGCAGGAAACACCGGGGACCACCACTCTTTTCTCAGAACATGGGGGATCCACCCCTTCCTCAGCAGTTAGGAGGAGCCCAAGTGTAGACCAGGCTTCAGCTAGCCTAATCCCAGATCCTGTTTCCCTCTTTTTTTTTTTTTTTTTTCTGTTTTTTGAGATGAGGCTTGCTATGGAGCTCAGGCAGGCCTCAGATTATTGGCGATCCTCCTGCCTCAGCCTCCTGAGTGCTGGGGTCACAGGGGTGTGCCACCATGCCTGGCTTGGTTTTCCCATTTCTGTGGGGAAAGTTTGGATGGAGCAGGGTCCTTTTAGCTGTGCCCGTGTCAGCCTCCTGAATCCGAACCCCTGGGTGACTTGGAGAGAACAGAGAAAGCCCCAGCCCCCCACCTAGTCCTGTGTCCTTGCAAGGTTTAGGGGCAACAACCCAGCCCCGGTGCCTCCCAGACCAGCCTTATCTCCACTGCTGATTGGCAGCTGAGGCCCCAGCAGGACAGATTTAGCCACATTCCAGATAGCCAGGTACCGCCCTGCTGAGGGCCATGGGGTGGGGCCAGAGGAGAGGCTCCCCCATGGAGTCACCAGCAGAGCCCAGCTGTCCCAATATTGCTGTCCTGGAGAGAAGGGAACACATCACAGCCCTGCCCATGGGACAGCAAATGAGGTGATGCAGGAACATGTTTCAGTGTGCTTCACAAGAGGTACATGCCTGTGACCCCAGCGCGTGGGAGGCTGAGGCAGGAGGATCTCTTGGACTACATGGCAAGACCCTATCTCAAAACAAAAGAAAGAAAAAAAGAGGGGCTGCAGGGGTGGGCGCTCAGGTGAACCAGGACCTGCAGCCTCCACTGTGGTCCTGCAGTTTCTGCCTTCAGCAAGAAGCCTCGGTCAGTAGAGGTGGACGCGGGCAACCCCGCTGTATTTGAGGCCGAGACTGAGCGTGCAGGGGTGAAGGTGCGCTGGCAGCGGGATGGCAGTGACATCAGCGCCAGTGACAAGTACAGCCTGGCTTCTGAGGGACGGAGACACACACTGACCGTGCGGGATGCGGGCCCCACCGACCAGGGCTCCTACTCAGTCATCGCGGGCTCCTCCAAGGTCAAGTTTGACCTCAAGGTCACAAAGGCAGGTGAGAACGCAGCAGCAGCTCCTGCAGGTTTAGTTTATGATGTTTTCCAAGAGAAGGTCTCACTACATAGCCCAAGCTGACCTTGAACTCACTGCAGTCCTCCTGCCTCAGCCTCCTGAGAGCTGGGATCACAGGTGTGCGCCTCCATGCCCTGTGAAAGCTGGGTTTGAGGTTCCAGCTGGCAGTGGGGGCTTCCCTTCATCACCCCCAGGGAACAGGGAGTCCTGCATGGGCCTGGGCCCTGTGTCTGCCATTGTGGTTGGAAATATAGATGATGAACGTGATCCACCCTCCACTGAGGACTGGATCATGCAGGACTCTCCCCAGCAGCCTGAGCCGCAGGGAGCTGGGTGTGGGGGGACAGCCTGGCTACGGCAGGGGCAGGGGACCTCAGAGCTGCTGGGGCAGACAGGGACACAGTGGGGACAGATAACCGCAGGACAGGAGCCTGGGACTGGGACAGGAGCCTGGGGGTGGGTTTTCGGGCCTGGTGCCTGGGATCGGGGGTCTCTGATCAGAGCCTGTGCCTCAACATCCCCGCCCCTTAGAGAAAGCAGAGGAGACCCCTGCTCCTGCCCCTGCTGAGACCTCAGGAGCCCCAGCCACACCTGAGCCAGAAGGCAGCATCCCAGACCCCAAAGGCGAGCAGGCCACGCAGGACGGGCAGGGGCAGGTGCCCCCAGACCCGAGCCCAACCACCCCCGATGACCCCATTGGGCTCTTCCTGACACGGCCACAGGACGGCGAGGTGACCGTGGGTGAGTGTGGGATGCTGCACCCAGAGGTGGGGAGGGAGGCCACAGGGTGCCCGGGCCCAGCCTTTTACCCTTTCCGCCTGCAGGTGGCAGTGTCACCTTCTCAGCCCGAGTAGCTGGGGCCAGCCTGCTGAAGCCGCCTGCAGTAAAGTGGTTCAAGGGCAAGTGGGTGGACCTGGGCAGCAAGGTGGGCCAGCACCTGCAGCTCCGAGACAGCTACGACCGGGCCAGCAAGGTGGGGCTTGAGGGGACACCAGCAGGTCTGTAGCAGGGGGACACACGAACAGGTCTGTGGCAATACAGGGCTGACATGGTCAACTGTGCAGGCTGTGCACTGCACAAAACAGGCTCCTCTAAGCCCACATCATTTGCCCTGTGGCCACGGTAGATTGGTGCTTTTTCTAATCATGTGCCAGCAGGTGGCAGTCATGGTCTCGAGAGGGAACACTTTTCTAAGGCTCACCAAAGCTCCCTTAACTAAATGCCTGGGTCAGAAGCTTGGCGGGCACTAGCAGATCTCAGGTGCCCTTGGAGTGCCGGGTCTCACCCCCAGCCTGTCCCCCAGGTCTATCTGTTCGAGCTTCTCATCACTGACGCACAGCTGTCCTCTGCGGGTGGCTACCGTTGTGAGGTGTCCACCAAGGACAAATTCGACAGCTCCAACTTCAATCTCACAGTCCACGGTGAGGCCCTGGGCTCTGTCCATGCCCCCAACGTGCTGCCTCTGTCTCCTGGGACTGAGGGAACACCAGGCCCTTGGAGATAGCCATGCAGGGTGTGGGTTCTTGAGAAGCCGGGGGACCCTGTTTTAGTGCCCTTCAGGCTGTGGGTCCCCAGTGCCCCTCTCAGGTCCCCTGTTTGTCTTCAGAGGCCATTGGGCCTGCGGACCTGGACCTCCGATCTGCTTTCCGCCGCAC